TCGGAACGCTCCGGATATGCGCAGTCACATAATTACCAGCTATTCTTGCAATGCCCTCTTCCTTGGGGTCTTGATCCACAAGCGCTCCAATAGCTGCTCTGCAAATTTCGATTCTGAGAAAGCGACATAGAAATCCCCGTAGAGAGAGAGCAATCCTAGCAAACTGACGTCTTAGTAACTCTGGCCTGATTAGACCTACGTAAATCGTTAATCGATATGACCTAATTCGGATCGAGATGTCCATAGGAAAGTTGTCATGTCGCCTTTGCAACGCGCCAAATTACACTTGCTCTCGGGTCTTTCGAAACCAGATCATCGTAACTTGAAACTGGTTTCAAGTTGAACCAAACTTGAATATCATTGAGATATGATGTGTAAGCTATACAGCCCAGCCTCGGTAACTCGGCCTACAGGCGGCTATCGTGGGCTAGTGTTGAAGAGGAGAAGCTTCGTCCCCATACCCGTTTCCAGCTCTCAGCTCCCAGCTTTATGAGGACCTAGAATTACTTTCTCGAAAGGTAATGTAGAGTTTCGCTGAAGACTATTAACTTTTAAAGAATAGAAAGGTACTTTTGATATCTTGAGAGCGAAATATGACAATATGACAATATAGCTTGAGACTCCGCGAGGCCGGTTCTTGAGAAACCAAATCCGGGCCAGATTCTGTGGATGAGGGCGAGCAAGCATTCAACATAACCAAAGTAGGATGCGGACGAATCTTTATACCAACTAAATAGCGTCTTTCGGCGATGGGTGGAGATGATAGATGATAACGCGGGATTTAGCCATCGTCAGTTTGTGCGACAGTCCGATCTAGAATGTTGTCGTCCACTCCAACACTCAGGCCGTGTTACAGCGCCGCGGCAACGGGTCGGGTCGAACATAAGCACTAGCAGCCCGTTACATACTCAAATCTCGGTTATCCCGCGTGATCGGCGAAGTTCCCATCGTGTGGTTTAGGTTTGCGAACTGGTGGGTTGGCCTAACCCCTTAGCAACCAATGAACCTACCTATGCGAATCCGGATCTGGACCTTGTGATCCGCCACTACTACGACGATGGAGGGGGCTGTGGGGAGATCGCGCCGCCCTTGCATGATCTGATCTGATCTACACGGGCGAGGACGAGGCGAACCTCTCGCTACGTACTGGGAGGCAAAACTTTACAAAAGGCGTGGTAAAGGTACGTGTCTGACAAGCGAGGGCCGGCTGTATGGGTACGATGGCACATGATGTTCCCTTTGGAAATGACGTGTTGTTTTGGCCGACATTATGTAGATGGATGGTCAACATGCGCGCGCGCATACACATACACACATAAACAAGACAGCCCAGGAGAAGAGTTTCCGGAAATGACATCTCGCTCTTTCTATAGGTAACTAGGTAGTCACTATTAGTTTATAGTACTATGGTAGCGGGTATTTCAATTCGAGGGTAACCCCCTTTTTTTTCTCCATTCGGACACACACAGATAGGTATGAAGACACTATGACGTTTCCACGCTATACATACATGTCGTACACTCCCGGGATCGATGGGTTCGTAGATCGTAGATCTATCTATCTATCTATCGATCTCGGGCGGGCGAGTTGGGGTTCAGTGGCGAGGAGGGTAGGTAATACATACGTCCCCGGTTCGTGGGAGGCGGAGACGGAGACGCCGAGCGAGCTTGCTTACACGGACAGTACTTATTCTACGGCTTCGTGGTTCGGCCGCTGATATCCGGGTTAGAGTTTATGGGCGCTGTCTGACCGGCGGGGCGGTGGGAGTTGCACAGTGTTAGGTGGGATTCGTGGCTACGGCTGGGTTGTTGGTTGTTTGGGGAGGGTAGGTAGGGACGGAGAGATGGGACGGGACGGGACGGGACGGGACGGGACGGGGGGAGGGAGGGGAGGAAATGGGATAATTGACGAGTCATATGCGTTGATTATTTAGATGGAGGTTTTGCATTTGTGAGACCAGTTCGTGGTATATGTGTTTCCTGTCGGACGGACGTTGCTGCTGCTCTCCTGCTTCTGATGCCCATGCTGCATTATGTGATATTGCAGAACGTAGCCTTGTGCAGCGGATCGCAGATATGTTGCACACTACACCCCTGGATGTCGGGGACTGCGATCTGCGGTAGGTTATGTTGATTACTTTTTCTATGCCAGGGGATATGTAGGTAGGTAGGTAGTGACTGCAGGACGAAGACTCTTGTGTCTTCTGTCATTGCGGAACGAGGGTCGCTGTGAAGACCGTATTGTACGTGTGTTTATCGTCCTTGTAGTAGCACGCTATCCCAGCGAGAGTGGATATAGAACGGGAATTATGTCTTATGCTGTCTCTCGCTCGTCGGGTAACAGCTGAGTGCTACATGGGTTGCCGAGGGATTCCCTGGCCATCGGGGTTATCCCGGTGTTGCTAGTGATATACCAGATTTATGTGGGAGGACCGGTCGGTCGATGCTGGGGCCATAGAGGATGAGATTTGGTAAGCCCCAGCGGGGAGAGGTGGTGGATAATTGTATGTAGACTGGAGTGTTTGGCTTAGATACTACGGCTGTTGTGGGAATAATGGTAATTTAGGTACGTGATTAGGTCGCTACAGTCAATATCTTTTAGAGTCAAAGCACTACTTACATATGTTGGAAGTATTCTTAGAATGTAACCCGATAGGATAATGTAAGGTAATGATATTGAGAGTCGGGGGACTTGGTATATGGGCGGATCATATTAAGGGGTTGTCTACTTTACATAGGCGAAGCTCTATAGATGTAGATTCAAGAGTTACCCGGGACTTAAAAGAATGATCATAACCCCACAAGAGTCAACAATCAGACAGTTGTTTGCCATTCAGAGATGAGACGATATATTTGTCCTTGGCTTTGAGTACGAGATGCTTAACGATTAGGAGCTATGCTAGAAGGTAATATATCGGATTGGCGAGTAGTTAAATGATAGAATTCTCTTATTACTTACTACTACTACCTAATCATAGATAAAGACTTGGCTACCTGTATGTATATGTAAACAATGGGACCGTTTCGCTCATAGGGCAGCTTCAACCGATCGGGGTGACTGTGTCGTATGATTTACCCCTGAGCAGATCCACTAGGAGGTGCTTGGTTTTCTAAAACTTGGGATTAATTAGCCGGAGTGCCTACCTATCTATCAACTTAAACAGAATTCATTATTTAGGGTAGAATGATGCTGTAGAAGTACACTATGAGAGTGGCTCGTTAAGTATTTGTTGACTTCTAAATTATGCGGTAAAGGAGGATCTTGTCTCATGAGAATTGCCTCGTCAGCATAACTGTCAAAAATTGTCACTCGAAGCCGTGGAGATATGAAGGAATAGTTTAACATATTAAGGTTTTTCAAAACTGGCATCCTCATTGCGATGGCTTGATCAATAAAAGGGTTTGTTTACGGAAGAGCCCCTATTTATATTTTATGAAATATTACCCTATCTTTACCACCTCATTGTAAATATCGCCAAATATTTTTAATCAAATTTCTACAATGCCAAGTCTTCACTTTGTACGTATTGGTAGTATCCGTGATACCTACATTCCCTGTGGTATCTATGTATTATACTACTTGCCTTACTGACCACCCCAATACTTTATCAGAACTACCTGTCATGAGACAATACGGCTACCCCCTTGGAGTAGCTATTATGTAGGACGTGTATATAAGGAAAGTGTCCTACCCCTTATCCTTAGAAGGGACACGAGTTGCAATAGTCACCAACACATCTACATACTGCTATATGTGTCCTTGGTCCCCGATTCTACTACGGATTACTTAGTTGTAATATTTCTATATTAGATCTTGAGGTGGCCTCGATTACGGTAGATGTAGTGGCAATACCTCTAACGTGAATCTTATTAGGATAGACATGGGAGGGTCAGGAAGAAGAATAATTCTAAATTCTCTACGACAAGTATGATATATGCATAAGAGAAGATATCTCAGACCGTGTGGGGTTTAAACATGTGACTATTCTGGTCTACTGTCCTCTTAAGATGTTACCTGAAAGCGCGTCTGCATTGTCTGATCTTTATTTATTAGGTATGTTTGTGTATATTCTAATAGTTGTATAATCCTGAAGTTGGGATACATAGGCTATGGCCTTACTTTAGAGAGTTACTGCAATATATTTATACCACTCCACTTGGTTATCATGACATTACAGTTAAACATAGAAGAATAACAAACACTCTTATTTATTGTTAAGAGCGGCCTAGTTATCGTTTGTAGATGATTCATTTTTATCATGTATAGTTAGTGTTTGTGGCGTGAATTCTTTATTGTGAAGTAACTACTCTAAGAATTAAAGTTAAGGATTAAGGAAAGTCTACCTATTATCTAGATTTTATAGTATTAGTTGAAGTTATACAACTTAGAAGCTACCCCTGAGAAAGAAAGAACTGACTCTTATTGGTGAGACGTCTAAGTCATCTTAAAGTACCAGTTACACCTTCTGTAAGCACGGACCACAACACTGTGACCCACCGTCATCCCACTAGTCGGAGCTATGTAAGTGGCGGGGTAAATGTTGGCGATCCCTTAAAGTTGTTTTAGTCAACTACGAGCTTCGCAGCTTCACCCTTCACCTATCGTTATCAACTTTAATTCATGTTGGTCTCCACCGCCATGCGTCAGGCATGTGCATATTATTATGACTTCCAGAAGTTACGACGCCTTTCAAGACTAAAGAGTCTCCAACTACAATAATTACCAGGTATCTGCAATATACCTGCAAATATACCCGCACTAATTAATCCGAGCCTCTCCCATCATCTTTCCTTAGCACTCAAATCCACTGATAAGCACTGGTAGCCCCTAACAATCTGTGATGATATGGCGAAGGACACGAGCTCCGTTGGGGGGGAGCTCCAAGTGAGCAAATGCTACTGCGAGACCGGTCGCAAGAGAGTAAGCATCTCGTCCAGCTTACTTTATAAATATTTGAATATTCCTGCTGACCTTGTTGTCTTTGGTAGCATCGCATCTCTATGTCAATACAGATACCCTTCGAGGCTAATCACCCCGCAGGAGAAATTAACCTGAATAACGATGTGGACGAACAAAGTATCGACGATACCAGCGATTCTGACGAAGCCATCGAAGATGACGATGTTCATATACTTGACAACGAGAATGCTTTTGAGGGTGTAACGCAAATGGATTTGGAAGATGATATAGCCTTTATAGAGGCTTTAGAGCCTAACGAACCAGACGATTTATCCACGGATGGGCTCTTCGACCCTGGAATGGATGATTTTGATGACTTTACCGACCAGGAACCTACTACGGAGCCGGATGGCACAGTAGAAGAAGAAGGACCACCGCGGATTGCAACATGGAGGTTGAACCTTACGGCACTATCACAAGTCTACAATATCTACATGGTAGCATACACAGACAAGATATATGTCTCCCGGCCCCGCAGCTGCATTACGAACTCCTTGCCTGCAGAGCCTGACCTCATCTTACAACCTCAGCCTAGCGCTATGGGTATTGAAGTCGGCGGGTACCTGGATAACATCTTTCCGCATCAGGTAAATCATCTGGTCATTGGTGATCTCGGCGATGAGGAAATTCTACTGCTTGCCTACGACGATGGCGATGTTATCGGATACTACACTCGGTCTATTGAGAATGAGCTGCTGCGCCGTGAGAGGGACGGCCGGGACATTGAAATCGTTCCCGAGCCCTTCTTTCACGAGAATGTCGGGAAAAGCGCTTGGGGGCTCGCAGTTCACAAGAACTCTCGCATTATAGCCGTCAGTTCCAACGCGCACAACGTCTGTGTTTTCGTCTTTGCCTTAACCGGGAAACATTATAGACATAATCCCGAAGTCGACTCAGTTGAATTCTTTAGGAACATCGCTAAGAATCTAAATGGTGATCCCTTGGAATCATCATACAGCAAGCCATTACCTGCTAAGGAGACTGGCTATGTGTCTTCGCTAGAAAAAGCAATCCGACGTCGAGATGCCAACTGGCGAATTATCCTAGACACTGGTCCAGGAGGAGCCAATATACCAAATGTTGCCTTTGGTAACGACAACAAGGGGGAAGCGGATAAGGTTGTAGCAATAGATATCGAGGGAAGGCTCTGGGTGATGGACATTTGGCACTTCAGCGGCCATCCTTTCGTCAAGATCGAGGACCTCTATTCCGCTCGCTCGCGGAGTGTGAGGTTTCACTATGACAGTTTCCGCAAGTTAGTTCGCCCCGTGTTGCTATACCATGATGAAAATGCTAACAGAAGTCAGGCCTCGGGGTTGGGGTGTTCTCGTTCTCCCCGAAAGCAGCTTCCTCCCGGCAGCTGATTATAAGGATTCTCTAGGCCTAGAAAAAGATAATATTAGATTTATTTCCCACGAGAGAATTGGAAATTGGTTTGATATCAGCAAGGCCATCAAAAACGTGAAAAACAATTCATGGATACACCCGTGGGTGAGATGGGATAAAACCTCGCGATTTTCGTTCAACCCTGTTGAGCACAGGGGTGTACCACCTGGGGGTTCATGGTTTGAATTCGACCACAGGATGAAGGTCCCCGACTCAAGCGCTGCGCAGGAGTTTCGGTCCGGGAAAACCGACTCTGGATATATTGAGGAACCCAAGACTATTCTCACGGATGGAAGCAGTATTCTACGAACATACGAGGTCGATCTTGAGCTTCGCAGTTTTGAGGAGGGTGGTATAGGTATAATGTTTGAGAAAGCCATCGACCAGTCTCGACCTCCGCATGCAGTGACTCCAGCGATGAGAATATCTCACGAACGCCTAGCGAATCTCATACACGTCCCGGAATTGTCGCTAGTCGTAGCCGGCTCATTGTGCGGGCGAGTGGCGCTTGTCACTTTGACGCGCCCCCCAAAGCAGTTCCTATTCAAACGAGGCTTCAAGGTTGAGGCCGTCCTACCCCTTAAACGGGATGAAGACAACGAGATGCGGCCTATCTGCCCCTTGTTAGGGGTGGCCGTCGGGCCAGTGCCGTTCTCCGGAAATGTAGAACGAGCAACCGGGCCTGTTGACCGAAGACGATACCGCATCATGCTTCAGTACTACGACCTTAGAATTCTCAGTTATGAAATATCTCGAAACTCATTAACAGACCCCCTCTCCATCGTATGAGGGTCTCGAATTTCTTTCTCTTTTGTACAAAATCATGTTCAAGATACCCAGGGTTTCGTGGGATGTTTTCGAATCGAGGCTGGGCGGAACCAGCAGGCGTTTAGGTTGCATAAGGACAAGGGAGGAGGGGGGAGGCTCTTGAATCATTTGTCATGTTGCATGGCGTTCCCGCGAAGGATTGGCAGAGGAATCAAAAAGGCAACAAACTGAAGCAGATTGGCATGAATGAGGCTTGACTTGCTTAGCTTAGCTTTTCAGCTACTGTGTGGCTAGATGTATACTACGAAATACCGCGACGGCTAACCCGTGGGGGAACCAAACCAGCCAGACAGGGATTGGTTTCTAGAAAAAGCCACCTGGACTAGGGTAATTCGAGATAACTGAATTTGGGCTCACGCTCGCTTTTTGAACAAGACTTTTACGTACCTAATCAAAATCATGTAGTGACTTACAAATTAAGTTTTACTAATAGATGGCATTCCAAAAGTGAATTGAGATTCGTATAATCAAGCATGGTAATGGCTAGGGTAACATATTTAAATAAATCGTGTTTTAATAGTATTTCTTCATTTTAAGAAACCTAATATTTTGTTTTATATTATAAATTACGACGGTTAATGATGTGCATGCGTAGTCTGAGGTACGTACCTATGTACACATATATCCAAATCAGATGCCAAGACGCGATTTCGTAGGGTAATGATAAATCAATAGAAAGCAGCAACTTCTGATTGGGCAATATATCAAAGATAAGGCTTGAGCTAGCCTTTCCCTTTAAAGTTAGAGTAATGCGGGTCACTTTATTTATTTCCGGGGATCTGTGGGGCGAATTTTGTCATTCGATAAGGTAAAACTTCCTGACTGACAAGACAGATACGCTCAATTCAGCTCTTCAGCCCAAACCTACTAATCTACTAATCTCCGGCAGCCTCATGCGTTTTCCTCGCTTCGTAACACGAGACTGTGAAACGATGCAGTACCATCGTAGGCGACTCGAGTAACACCGACGAACTTATACATAGTTATCTGATTGCTTGGATGTGACGATGCAGACGTTCTAGAAGGTTACCAAACATGGCGTTGGACTGAGAAAGTTAGCAGTGGGCATTTCAAGCATCGATGGTCCATGGCCTGACATCATCTACGTAAATACATAAATGGTACCCCGAGCCGGAAATTGTTAACGCGGTACCTAAAGTCTCAATTAAGCAATTGGACCTAATGTCGATCCCGCCACTAGTGGTCCCCTGTCTCTGAGAAGTTCTTCCGGAAAAGAGATTGAGGACTGCGAGATTCTAGTAAGGAAGAAGGAGAAGAAGAAGAAAAAAATACCTCGTTTAACGAGCGCGGGATGCGTAATCCATTTGAGTTAAGCTTGTTTCCGCAGGTAATTAGCTCAGCAGTTAACATTGGCTTACATGTAAAGGGATTACGAAGACGTTTAGTTACGCGAAATGGAATCGGTTGCGAATGTTTCAAAGAACTTGCGGCTACTTATTTTAAGTTTTGACAGTGTCGAGACGAGATGGGAAGTACCTCATTATTTTCCCCCTTGTCAATCCCCTCCCCCCCCCCAGTTATGTAGACGGGCTTGTTCCGATCTCAGCCCCATCGCGCGACTCATCCACGATACAGCAGAGATAGGAATTGTTCGGGCTGAAAGCTGACGCTCCCATTCGTCTGCTTCGAGGGCGTTGCAAATGGTTTGCAGGGTAGCGGACAAACTATTTCGTAACAGATACTCCCGTCCCACGCGATCTAGAGGCTCGAGCTTCTGGCTTAGCCACTATGTAGAGCCTAAGGGACCCTTGGACTTGGGTTTGACGACAACAACAACAACAGGTGAGAGAAGAATATCGATTTCGTGGACTTTTATATCGTAAGGTCGCTCTGGATAGAGGATATGAGATATATATCCATGGTCTCGTCTTACCTATACAATGCGGAAAGTTAACATCACCACTCGGGTCTTTTAGCCAAGGCAACTGGGGCGTCTTAGTCAACGTCCAGTAACAAGCCCCTGAATGCTGCGGCTGCCGAGTACATAACTCCACGCACCCCATATTATCGAAATATATCTAGAACAAGAGAAGGACGACGCCATAAGCAGCAATAGCTAAAGTGGGTATAGTAGGAATTTCTCGGAGATCTAGTTGTAGCATAGGTACGCAACGTTGATCTCCAGCTAAGAAGACTTTACTAACCTCCCAGCTGATATGAAACAGATCTGGTCCCAACCGGATGGAAATGTAAGCCTAAGGGATTGATGAGATGGGGATTGGGATAGGTACCCACGAGTAGGTATGTATTACCGACAGATGTTACTGTGATATTTACAACCACATGTCAACGCAATATATTAGATATAGGCCTTTCTTGCGTAGTTACACTATTTATTAACTATCTAAGGTAAGGATTTAACTAGTATTAATTACTTCTATTCCCTTCTTCGTCATGAGGCTACAACTATAGTCTCTGAATAAAGGGTCACCTCTTTAACTCGCCCTGGACCAGCGATGTCGCTCAAATAACGACGCCTTTCGCATAGCCGGAACTAGTAATAATTCACATGTACGGATTTACAAAGTATCTACCTAATATGCTCCACGGGCTACATGCTCCCCGTAAATACGGAAGTACATGCGTGTAAGCCTCTAGTGGAGTTACCTCAGGTACATGGGGGTTTCCCATCTTAAAACCCTTACAAGCTTCTAGGTACCCAGGCATCATTAGGGTTTGGGGTGCATCACCCCGGTACCTTCCAACTGCTCAATTACATACAGTTACAGGTAAGACCGAAACATCTGATTGGTCCGATAGTTATCTATCTTCCCAAATTTGGTTCCGTCTTTCTGTTAAGGTCTGGCCGAACGCTTAAAGTCTTGCTTTAAGTCTAAAAAACAAGAGTTCCACTTCGGGTCTGTCGCTTCTCATATATGTCGCCTCGATCCCATGCTGCATTGCATATGTTAACCGAGTCAGGTTCGTCGTCTTTTGGTTTTTGGTTTTTTTATAATACTTTTTTCCTTCTTTCGCCTCCTCTCTCTCTTCCTTAACTGACCGAGCCCCAAATCTACAAGGCTCTCGAACCTCCCTCCCGGTTATCACATATTTTACTTTTGGAGACCGGCTTGTAGACGTTACATAAGGGAAATTGACCCAAACGCACGGGCTATTCGTTTGTTTGTTTAACCCGCTGAACTTCGGAATTTCTTCAACTACTACCGACCCATCATGTCGTGGCAACCCTCCTACAATTGGACGGGTGCGCCCGCCGAGTTCGACGGCAGCAATCCCGAGACCGGCGGAGATTCTAGTATGTACAAACAAATCGCAATCACTAATTTCACCAGAAGAGAATCGAGAAGTAATGCGCGTATGAACAAACTGAAAAACTAACATACGATTCTTAAAATAGGCACCGAAAACTTGAACCAATGGTACCAATCAGGCGACCAGGCCTTCATCATCGTCTCGGCATGCATGGTCTTACTTATGGTACCCGGCATCGCGTTTCTGTACTCCGGCCTATCTCGAAGAAAGTCGGCCTTGTCTCTGATCTGGGTCGTCATGATGTCCTTCAGCGTCATCATCTTCCAGTGGTACTTCTGGGGTTACTCGCTGGCCTTCAGCTCGACGGCCACCAACGGTTTTATCGGCGACTTACATCACTTCGGTCTCATGAATACCCTCGCGAAGCCTTCGCCCGGATCACCGCTTATTCCTGAGCTGCTGTACTCTTTCTACCAGGTAAGTTTCTTACTAGCTGGAACGAATTGAGTTTCTAGTTTATTTTATTTTGGTTTATTTTTGTTTTTTATTAGGTTTGAGATTTAAAAATGCAATGACTAATATACCATCTAGATGATGTTCTGCGCTGTAACCGCAGCTCTCGTCATCGGCGCGGTCGCCGAGAGAGGTCGCATGCTTCCCGCTATGGTCTTCGTCTTCTTCTGGGCCACGCTCGTATATTGTCCCCTCGCCTGCTGGGTTTGGAATGTTAACGGTTGGGCCTTCAACTATGGTGTTCTTGACTATGCTGGAGGTGGGCCCGTCGAGATCGGCTCTGGTTTGTCTGCTCTTGCCTACTCGTGGGTTCTCGGCCGACGCCACGAGAAGATGATGCTCAACTTCCGACCTCACAATGTTTCCCTAGTCACGCTCGGCACCGTTTTCCTTTGGTTCGGCTGGCTCGGGTTTAACGGCGGTTCTGCATTTGGCGCTAACCTAAGGGCTACAATGGCATGCTGGAACTCTTGTCTGACGGCTACTTTTGCTGGTATGACGTGGTGCCTGCTCGATTTCCGTCTTGCGAGGAAATGGTCGATGGTTGGTTGGTGTTCCGGTGTCATCTCTGGCCTCGTTGCTGCTACGCCTGCGTCTGGTTTTATTCCTCCTTGGGCATCGATCATCCTAGGTGTTGTCACTGGTGTCTGCTGTAACTTTGGCACTAAAGGTACGTTAGATCGAAACCATTGTAACGATTTGTACTGACACGTTTGAAAATAGTCAAGTTCCTAGTCAGAATCGACGACTCTCTCGATGTATTCGCTGAACACGGTATCGGTGGTATTGTTGGTCTCATCTTCAACGCCTTCTTTAGTGCGAACTATATCATCGGCCTAGACGGTGTCAACAACGGCGTATTTCCCGGCGGTTGGATTGATCATCACTATGAACAATTATACATCCAGATCGCCTACATCGTCGCTGCATGCGCTTATTCGTTCGTCATGTCCGCCATCATTGCCAAGCTCATCGACCTCGTACCCGGTTTACACTTACGCGCTACGGAAGAGGCCGAGCTCCTAGGTATGGACGACGACCAACTCGGCGAATTTGCGTACGACTACGTCGAGGTGCGCCGAGATTTCCTAGCGTGGACCCCTGCCAAGGAAGAACCTACCGCGGACGGCCACAGAATTATCCCGCAGCACGGAATCGAAGAGCATCAGCACATGGCCAATACGAACGGCCTAGCTCTCGAGAAAGAGCAGGAGAAGCTAGGAGCCTCTGCCAGAGCCCCCGCTAAGGAGGCCGCTGCCGAAGATGCTGCTACGCAGGGCAGCAGGGGAAGCGGAGAATAAGCGTCTACTTCGTTTACTTCCACCTCGACTGTATTAAACCCCGGAGGACCATGGCCTATCATCATCATCGACCGCTGTTACTATTACACTACACTACACTATTTGGCATAAATTGCGCGTGTGTTATTACATAATACCCATCAGTTCTTTTCTCTCCTGTTATTTTATTTTTTCCCCTTTTTTTCATTTTTTATTATCCGTCTAAGTCGGAGTTCGTCGGACGTAAAAAAATAAAAATTCTGCCGGGAGGGGCGGGATGAATGATTTGTTTTCATCCTTGAAGGCATGGCGTCTAGGCGTTGCTATTACTGATGCTTCTCTGATATGAGAGACAAGGGGGAAGGGAGGGAAGATGTTTGCAAATGATGATTTGAGTTGAGTGAGAGAGTTAGGGCGGATGGATGCGATACGATGCGATGTATTGTGTGAGGGTGAGAGTGAGTGATGGCATGTTGGCTGGCTAGGTTAAATTAGGTACATAAGGTATATACTGTCCTACTTATACTACCAACAACCAATGCAAATTCATAAAACTTTTTATCATGAGCGGATTATAGTCTTTCGTGATGACTTCTGGTGTAGTGAAGTAAGTTGGTAAATGTGCTCGGTATGTTAGAACTAATAATATCGACATAAATGAACAAATACTGTCTGTAGTCGTTATTCCGCATATCTGCTTTCTTAACTCCCGCTTCCTCTTTAACTATCGCTCGATAAACTAGACTTATCTAACCTTTACATAAACACCCACTTCTACACCCAGGATATAACTAAACGTTCAACCTAACCCAACCTCCCCCCCCCCTCTCTCTCTATATATAATTTAACCAGTATATTTTCTCCAGAACCGCTTCCTTCCCATAGTCCGAACACCCACTCACTCACAGCACATGCCGATCTCGGCCGCCGCCGATGTTTAGCTTACCTAAATCGTACCTATTCTCCAGACCCCGTACGTGCCCGCCAGTCTAACTACGGGGGAAGGGGGGGAGGGAAGCTAAGTTAAATTAGCCTAGGGTACCAACTGCACGTCATGTTATATGCACTACATAGGTATGTATGATAACTAATAGATAGTAATAGAGCAAGTTTGAGTAAGGGGTATGCAGACGTATACTATTAAGACTACCTCCTATACACCGGATTAGTTAGTTTTTATCCTAGTTTACTTCCTTCGCATGCCTCACATAAGACATAGCAATAACAATTGCAATAGCGATAGCGATATCACCAAGATCACGACTATTTCATTAAAATTTCTTTGTTTCTTCCATTTGCCGTATCTCTCATCTTTATCACTACAAATCCGTAGCTTAACTCTCAACTACAATAAACCTCATCCTATCTCTTCTTTTCTCACATATCTTCCTCCCGCCCTGAGACACTCCCCCTAGACAATCTTCCTTGAAAATCCACGCATCCCTCTACTCCAGCTTTAACCCTTCAAACTGCTTGATCGTGCCCTCGAAGCCCTTGGCCTCGGATTCCAGATCAGCGAGTTTCTTCTTGTCCGCCTCTTGGAGGGCAGCCGCGACCTTCTGCTGGTAGTTGGTGTCGGCGAGGAGTTTCTGCTGTTTGCTAATGGCAGCGCGCGTCTTGTCGAGTTTCTTATTAGCCTTAGAGATCTCGTCGTCGATGTCTACGCGTCCCTTGACGTGTAAGAACACTGCCGCGGCGCTCGACACGGGGAACGCCACGCATCCGGTGGGACGAGCGTCTGATCCTGAGGTAACCTCGATTCCGGTCACGCCTTTGCCGCTGAGCGACTTTATGGATTGAACCTGCTCCACTGCGGTCTGGTGCGCCGTCTCGTCGTAGGTTTGGATGAAAACTGTAGGTATTTGTGTTAGTATAATATTAAGGAGGTAGTGAGTTCGAATAAGTTACCTTGAGCTTCGTCCTTTAGAGCGTATTCGGACATTAATGACCGGATACCCTTAGAGCAACCCAGAACGAGCTCGTAGGCAGCCTCGGCAGCCGGGTTATCTAGCTCTGGGTCGTACACGGGGTATCGAGCAAGCATGATTGATGGAGTTTCATCTCCAGGTCGGCGCGGAAGGCGTTGCCATAGCTCTTCTGTAAGGAAAGGCATAAAGGGGTGGATCAACCTCAGCGCGTTGTCCAGCGCAGTGTATAAAGTGTTAACAGCCGAGCGCTTCTCCTCTTCTGTTCCATCCTGTATGAGAGATTTCGAGTTTTCTATATACACATCACAAAGATGGTTGTACCAGTACTGATACACCGTCGACGTCGATCTATTGAAGTCCCGGTTCGCAACAGATTCGTTTATATCCTTGGCGGCGGCGTTCATCTTGTGTAGAATCCACTTCTCGGCAAGGGATTCCTTACCGGTAAGTTTCTCGGTCTTCTCGGGAACGAAATCCTGTTCTAACTTGCCGAGCACGAACTTCGTGGCCTGGTAAATCTTGTTACAGAATTTCCTGTAGCCGTGCATGACCTTGATATCGAAATTGATGTCTCCTCCGCCCGTCGTGTAGTTGACCATGCAAAATCGAAGTGCGTCAGCTCCGCATTGTGGTATACCTTCGGGGAAAGCGGTCTTCTGGTATTTCTTGGCCTTCTCGATCTCGCTAGGGTGGAGGTTTCCCATCGCCAGCTTTTCGTGGAGGGTTTCCAAGGGAATTCCGCTGATGACATCGAGAGGATCTATGACATTGCCTAAGGATTTAGACATCTTTCTTCCCTCCGAGTCTCGCACAAGTGAATGGCAGTAAACCTCGCGGAAAGGAATCTCTCCTACCATCTTAAGACCAAGCATAATCATTCTTGCAATCCAGAAGAACAAGATATCCCATCCGGTCTCGAGGACGCTAGTTGGGTATAGCGTCTCCAAGTCATGGGTCTTGTTTGGCCATCCAAGGGTTGAGAACGGCCATAATCCGGAAGAAAACCACGTGTCGAGCACATCCTCGTCGCGCTCCAACGTAAACTTCTTTCCTGATAGAGCCTTCTCAGCCTTCGCTCGTGCTTCTTCCTCTGTCCGCCCTGAGAACCACAACTTATCCTCCGCCCGATCACCTGCCTCTCCCTCGACGTTGGCGAAGTAGACGGGACATTGGTGTCCCCACCAGAGTTGACGCGAAAGACACCAATCATTGATATTCTCCATCCACCTATAATAGCTGTTTTCGGCCGTCTCGGGCTTGATCTTGATCTGACCATCTTTCACCACCTTGATTGCCTCGGCGGCTAGATCCTTCATCCTCATCCACCACTGGGGCTTCATGATCGGTTCGATTACATCCTTGGACTTCTCGCAGAGGGGCACCTTCATCGGGTTGTCCTTCTTATCTACGTACAATCCACGCTCCTTAAGAGCATCTTGGATAGCATACCTTACATCGAATCGCTTCTGGCCCTTGTAGGGACCGGCATTCTCGTTCATGAGACCATCGTCGGTCAAGATATTAATGAACTCTAAGTTGTGTCGCTGACCTAGCGCAAAATCGTTCGGGTCGTGAGCCGGAGTAATCTTGACGGCACCAGTACCGAATTCCTTGTCCACGTAGTCATCCGCTACAATTGGCATCAAGCGGCCCTCGATGAATGGGTGGACAGCCTTCTTGCCAACAAGGTGCTTATACCGTTCGTCATCGGGATGCACGGCGATACCTGTATCACCTAGTAATGTCTCTGGACGTGTCGTAGCAACCTCGATCGTCTCATTTGAGCCTTCAATGGGATATTTGAAGTGGACAATAATTCCAAACTCAACCTTCTTATCGTATCCAGGTACGTCAAGGAGCGTTCGTCCGGTTAACTCCTTATTGATGACCTCCAAGTTAGAGAGTGCCGTGTTTAGTTGGGTGCACCAATTGACAAGGCGGTTCGCGCGGTAGATGGTCCCCTCTTCGTGAAGCTTGACGAAAGTCTCTGTCACAGCCGCGCTTAGGTTCTTATCCATAGTAAAGGCCTCCCTGCTCCAATCGGTCGAGCCACCCATCTTACGTTGCGCGTTATTGATTCGCTTATGGTAATCCTCTTTCCACTCCCATACGGTTTCCACAAACTTTTTCCTGCCTAAGTCATGACGGGTCTTGCCTTGCCGCCTCCATAACCTAGAAAGCAGTCAGTATACGTACCTACAAAAGAGTGACAAGGTAATGGCACGAACATGTTCTCAACGACGCTCTGGGTGCTGATACCGGCATGGTCACATCCAGGTAGCCACAGCGTTGTCTTCCCGTGCATGCGGTTCCATCTGATCATAACGTCTTGAAGGGAATTGCCCAAAGCGTGACCCATGTGCAACGCTCCCGTTACGTTGGGAGGTGGTATGACGATGACAAAAGACCCTTCCTCCTTGACCTTTCCATCAGGGGCAAATTGGGGTTTGAAGAAACCTGACTTCTCCCACCACTCATACCAAGCACTCTCGACAGCAATTGGGTTATAGGCCTTTAATTGAGGGTCGTCGAGGGATCTAAGTCGCTTCTTCTCGCCGGCAGGGGTTTCCTCGACGTAAGGGGGAAGAGGCTCTTCTTCGACCTTCGGAGCTTTAGGCTTCTTGTCCTTTGCCTTAGCATTTGCGGCAGGGGCAGCTTGTGCGGCTTTAGCCTTCTTCTGCTCAAACTTGGCTGCCTTCTCAGCCTTCTTCCTCTCCTTTTCTAACTCCTTCTCAGTTTTGACCTTAGGTTCGGCCTTAGCTGAAGTCGAGGCAGCTCCGGCATCTTGACCCGAGGCGTGCACTCCAGCACTATCCGACTGTCCCGCAGCTTCTTTTACGGCGCCTTTAGTATCAGCGGCGACTGGAGGCGGTGCACCTTCGGCAACCTTGCTTGGGCCCTCGGATGCATCAATAGGGTTACCACGGGAACTATTTGTAGCCATGTTGGCGCGAGTGAAGTGAAAAGTTGATCTGTACAGCGGCCTGCGCACCCAGAGTGCTCTAAGAAATAACCTAGACAACTTGACGGTGTTGAATGGAGAATTAGGGGGAAATAATTCGTAGCATTGGAGTTGGTCAATACCTGGGTAGATATATAAGTCGACTCCCTTTAAAAATTTCTTGACTCATACAACTTTTGACTCACTAGAAAAAAGGTACGACTTTCGGAGGGGTAACTACCGCCAGATCGTGCCGCCAGATAGCATTATCGATAAGATATATAATATTTTGGCGGGGTGATCTTATATACTGTAAGATAGTCTTTAGTACCCCACAATATAACCTCTACATAGGTACCTATGTCCATATTCTCGCCTTATACAGAGTCATAATATGTTCCCAAAGACAATATCATAGGCCATGTTTACGAAACTGCGGGTTATACCTAACACAAGAATTATAATAAATCACACCATATTTCTTGACAAGCATTTCTTCCTTCGACCATAATCATATTGACACAACAATATTTAACACCCTCCGCTAATAATATAAGCCCGCTATGTCATACATCGTACATACTTCCACTCCCATCATCTCTACTCCCCCCTCCCAAGATCCTACCAGCATTAACTACCCCCCAACCTCTCCACCGTCTAGTTTACTTCCAATCCAGTCGATACCTACCTAAGTATTCCCAGCCGCAACATCCTCAGCGTTATTCATACCATCGTCATTTTTACCCTGCTGCAGCTTCTTCACCCTCTCCCTGCCAATCCACCCCAAAAACAGCGGCACATCCTTCCAAATGACCCCCGGCGCCGCCACATTCTGCACCCAAGCCGGCAGCACGCCTCCCGCATCACTCGCCGTCGCCATCAGCCACTCCACCTTCCTACCCCCATCCCCACCCCCATCCTCTATCCTCCGGATCCTCTCCACGCTCACGTAGCTAGCGATCTGCGCCCCCTTTTCCTTTGCCAGTTTACTCGCTTCCGACGTCCCGAAATCCGGTATGGGAATACTTACCACCAGAAACTCATCTTCTTCTTCTTCTCCGGTGGTGGCACCGGTAGTAGAGCTAGTAGCAGCAGCAGTCATCTGCAGCACGGGAAACGTCCGATCCTTCAACACCGGCTTCCCGATGCGATGCCGCATCTCCTCCACAATCAACCCGAACCGACCCCACGTCTGCCCTCCCTCCCTAGCCTCCGCGCCCCCGCAGTCCCACGCCAAAGCTTGATGCGCATCTAGACACGCGGGCGTAAACGCGCGCTCCGACTCGGCATGCTCGTCGCGGAAGCTACGCACGAACTCCCCCCAGGCCGCCGTTCCCTTCTCCGGCTTATCCACATGGACGCTGCGGCGGCAGCACCAAGTTTCCGGCCTAACATTCCCCTTCCCCTTACTCTTCTCCTTACTACCGCTACCGTCCCCCACAGCCACCGTCTCCAGCTCAGCAGCCGAGACCACGCGCTCCAAGACGTCGATTTTCGCCGCCGAGTCCGGATGCGCGTGGCTCCCCTTCAACTTCCAGACCTTGGGGTCCGCAGCGCCGCCTCCCGCCTTCGGCGCCGCCGAGTCGATGAAGGGGACGGCTTCCCGCAGGATTGCGGAGAGCAAGGGCGCCAGCTCGTCGGGCGACGCGGTAGCTGCGGGGAGCTGTTCGGCGCGGAGGCCCCGTAGGCGGACGAGGGGTCCTAGTGCGGCTGGTGATGGCATTGCGGTTTTGGCGTGATTAATAGGTGAGCTTGTGAAAAAACGAAGGTAAGATAAGTAACTAGTTGGTACCTAAACTACCAGGTAAATGAACGTGAAGTGAAAGATTCCGCCCGTCTCGGGTGAATGCTAGTAATGAGATGAAATTAACATATATATATATATAGTTAGTTATTGGTAAGAATGATATGTTATATTTAAACAGCTAGTTAGAACATATGTATGTAGGAAGAAAGGAAAAGTGCATGTAGGTAATAGGATAATCGTTTCAAGGGGCCAATGTTTCGATCTGGTACAGTAGGTGCATACCTACCTACATAACCCGAACAAGACATATGTACCGTCTTAGGCTGGAAATGATACAGAAACGAAAAAAAAAAGAAACAGTAATTATGAATTTAAATGTAGTTATTTAAGAATCACTACACGTTACTTTTGACGTATAATTTACAATTTATTAAGTATATTAACCAATGTCTGGAAGAAATCATCTCCGACGTAGTAAGTTGAGATGCTCGAGCTTTAGGCTAGCTGCGTCATCCGTATGCGGGGGCAAGGGTGCAAAGACAGACAAGCTTTTGGTTCCATGAACGTGGGTTTTCAGGTACCAGCTACGCTTCCCGTTCCGATCTGTTACCTATACATAAAATGTTAAAGAATACCTACATAGTAATACGATAAGGAGATGATTGGATCTAGGAAATTTAAACTTGTACTCTAACACGGGCCTATGATTTCATAAGAGTATATTATTATACTCATATCTGATTATTACTATTATTCTAGCTATTTGGTGTCTTTCTTTCATCTCATGCCCTTCTTGGGCTATCTCGGATCGTAGTCGTCATCCAGTTAAAAGGCTATATGTACAGGACTCTAGGTATTTAGGGGTGTTTAGTATAACTCGTTTCCTACTTCCCGATTCCAAAGTTTCCCCTTTAAGCATTTCGCTTCTCCCAGAAAATATTAGCCGGCTCGATTGGCCGCGAGAATAAGGAAGCGTAATCGGTTCCAACGACCTTGTCGCTTCCGTCGACATTCCTGAACTTGAACAGACGAACAAGCTCGGCTGTGATCGTCTGCAGCTGGACGTTGGCAAACTGCTCACCGATGCAACGATGCCTTCCAGCACCGAACGGGAGGTAGGGTGAGTTGGCACCCTTGCTAACAAGTCCGTATCCATAATCTATCTTCTCATCCTCTACATCGTTGCGGATCACTGTTGGTGCAATAGGCGAATCTTTGCTCCATCGTGTAGGCTCCCATCGGTCTGGGTCGGGGAAGAAAGTAGGGTCCGTAGCTGATACACCGCCGGCGGAGAGTAGGGTATGGCTGGTAGGGATGACAAATTTAGTTCCGGGGACTGGCATAGGGGACTTTACGGCGCGCATAATAGAGTGAATGGGCGCATGGAGTCTTAGTGTTTCCTTTACAATTGCCTGGTTCAGTGGGAGTTTCGCGAGATCCTCATATGCCAGCGGGGGTAGATCAGCACCGAGAGCCTCAACCTGTTCGCGGTACAAAGCCTCCATGATATCCGGGCGCGAAGCGAGACGTAGCATCATCCAAGAGCTTGTAGAAGACGAAGAATGCTGACCAGCCATAAGCAACGCAATCAACATGTGTGCAATCTCGTGGTCGGGAACCGGTCTGCCATCCTTGTAACTCGAGTTCATCAAATGCCACATCATATCCTGCGCATCGCTCTTGCCAGCTGCCCTGCGTTCCTTGATAGTATCCATATAGATCTTCGAGATGGTCCTCTGGGCGTTGTCGCGTCTCTTGTTCCAGGGTAAGGGAGCCCAGTGAAGCATGAAGTTGATAGGGGTGAATCCCATATCCAGGTCATGGTACAAGGAAGCCAGCGACTCGTCGAACTTGTTTCGGATCTCGCTGCCTTGAAGAGAGTGAGATGCGGTGAAGATGGTAATCTCGGCCATGTTCTTAGGAATGTTGACTACGCCTGATTTGCCCTTGAAATCGGGGCATCGCTTGACGTAGCTCGTTACCTCGTCGGCAATAATGGGGACGTACGACTGGAAGGCGGCCGTGGTAAGAGCGATTTTCATGAACTATCCCCCCTCATGTTAGTAAGGATTTCAACTCATAGAAACATTTGGTAGTTTACCTTCTTCTGCTCCATGAGCTTCGAGTTGGGGCAATCATAAACGACATCTTTTCCGAAGACAGGGGTAGTAAGAACGGTGTAGATGTCCTCAGCGCAAACATCCTTAACCTTTCCATTTAGGATGAAGTCGTTTCCGGCGGGACCAAGGTAAACAGTTGTCTTCTTTCCGAGGAGAATAAAGGTGAAGATGTCACCATACTATCGCGTCTGTTAGTACGCCAACTGACTCGCGGTGTACATAAAGGGGGTATTAGAGGAAACGTACCTTAGCTCGGTTTTCCCTAAAGAATCGAGGAGGGTCCATGCCATAGGTGATGGTACTCCCAACTAAGGGGAACCAGTGGAAAACGACCGGGGGCTCATTAGGATTTCTGAAGAGAATCTGTTGTAAAACGTTGAGGAAAACAGAGAAAAACAGAACGCCAGCGGCGATAACTCCAACTTGCGACGGTGTCGACAGTTGCGACATGTACTGGGACACAGGTCCCTGAATATCTTCTATAAGCCCCATTGCTAAAATAATGCGCGCGACTAACTCGGTCGACTGCACTCTTATTAGCTTATAGACTGTGAGAAGCTGGAATAAATGTTAGATAGGGAACATAGGAGGGAGTTTAATAAATACAAAAAATTGAGGGTCAAGGTAACAGACCCTTTTTGGTAAAAGACGGCAAGAGATTGGCCAATCGATAGGGGGTTAGACATCGGATCATGCATCTCCCATTTTAAGCTAATGCAAAGAGGTACGATGATACTTCGTATTCGCATTCGTGCTATGTAAAGTTAATTTCACGTAACACGTACCTATGTACACGTGTAGATTTTTTGCTTAATAAGTGAATACTACGCGTAAAAAGATTGCAAATGTTGACTTGTGAATGGTCCATTTGCCAAATCCATTGCCAAATAAGGAATATCGGACATCACAGATCTTACACCGCCACCACTACCGAAACTACACCAACATCGCAATTACATATGAGCCGCTGGGTCACGAAAAGTTGGTAAACCTACTGATGGTACGTACGATCAGTCTATAGAGCATGACAATGATACGATTTAGTATTAGAGTCGACTCGATTTGACTCGATATGGCTTGGCGAGCTTATTTCAACGAAAATATTTCAACCCCTATTTAGTAGAGATTGTTAGATCGTAAACATTTATAGGTTATATCTAGGAGCGATTACTCTCCTAGTAACTTAGTATGTTACATGTGCAGCACGCCATGATATCTTTTTACTTTGCAGTATGTGTTAGCCTCCATAGCCACTTTTACGCATAGACATGATATTTTTTATTCTATCTGAATTCTATCTGTATTCTATTTGTAGTAAGATTCATCATTATCGATTGTCGGGGACTTATCTTATCAGAGATTAAAGAACAGATTGTGGACCAAGGATCTGAACAAATTTAGCTGCTTAGGGATTAATCTGTCTGATAAGATAAAATTTTTGGTATTAAAGATCAAAGCAATATAAAAATTTTATAAATTTTCAATTTCAAGACTAGGCGTATAGATCACCCATGAGACATGGATATATTATATTGAATATATACCTGGGCACATGAGCTGCTTAGCCGGGTATTATCACGGTAACTTTGCGCCAGTATCATATCCAAAGCAGGATTATCAAGTCGTACAGACTTGTACTACAAAACTCCGTAAACCAGAAGCACGAAACAATGTAGAGTAACACAAATGACGTAGGGCACCAGCAAGGTAAGGGGATGATGAGAGATACCATCCACTTATAACACAATAGAAATAATCACTAGTTACAACACCCCCAAACCACACCCTTCTTCTTCCTCACCCCGCGTGCCCAGCACACAAAAGCAACGAAAAAAAAAAAGAAAGAAAAAACACAGCCTGTCAGACGTCCACCACCGCCCACCCCGACCACGCGCCCAAAGGCAAGACCGCAGATCCGGGGTCGAGATCATCACCACTCTCTATACAGCCACCTCTCTCTCTCGCGAGGAAGAGCAGCCGCCGCCTTGCGCAGGCAGATCGAAAGTAAAGGAGCCAAGAAGACACAGACGTGCCTTGATGCTCCCACCTAAAAAAGGAAATTTCACTCTAGGGCGGCGGGGATAACCAATTCATCAACCAGGGTGGGATCTGTAGCTCCTGTAGGGAACACAGAGTGGGACGAATACTATAGAAATGATTCTCTGAAGTACTGTTTGTTTGGTTAGTATGGCTTGTTGCTTGAGGGGTTGGGTAGGTAGGTAGGTAGGTAAGTAGGTATAGGTAGGGGAGATGGGAGAGACTCACTTGTCGACATGAAGAAGAAAAGGAAAAGAAAAAATTTACAAAAGGCGACTGGACGCTGTAGATATTTATGTCTGTGGTCCTGGGCTAACGGCGGGCGGTGTGTGGTTCTGCCGCAGGTGAAGTTTGCTGCGCTAGTCACTAGGTGATGAGGTTTCCATGCCAGCGGCAGCTGTCTTTTTTTTTTTTTTTTTTTTCGGGCGGGTCTTTGGGAAGGCTGGATGTGTGTTTCCTAGGTGACAGGCCAGGAACTAATGAGTACCTCTTAACCTACGTAAGGTTAGGTAGATAGGTGAGTTTGCTCAGGACCTATGGAGTCACGGTGTGCGGTATGCTATCTTGCTAGCGTTGTGTTTTTCGACACGATGCTTCTTGTTCTTATGAGATACTGTAGGTAGGTATATACCTTGACGAATTCTACAGACTTGATGGTCAAACCATATGTAGTATCTATCTAGGTAAGTATCTAGGTTCAAGTAACTATCGAGATGATGAGTTCGTCGAGCAGTAATGAGATATCCAGTTATAACATCAGCCTGGAGACATCCTAGTTAAAACGTCCCTCTTCATATTTAAGAGGTCTCTAAATAGTTTCTTCTAACTTACTATATCAACATATATCTTTTACTCCGTCTTACTTAGTACTTAAATCATCAGTCCAGAACACCTATCACACTCTTTAAATCACTATCTCGAAAATACAACTAAGAAAAGACGATATATTCTCTGCCCCGTTTGTAAAAAACGTTTACAACGACTCTGTATAACACTTATATCGATGGTAGCATTTATATAAGGGGAGTGATAGGGTCCCACGAAAGCAGAGCCTTCGGAAAGTGATATAGCGATGACTTAGTTTGGATTTAGTTACAAGTAGTTAAACCATCTATATAAGCATCGTACCTAGTAATGATAGTTCCGAGTCCTATAGCTAATCAACGTCTTAGTTATTTTTTTCTTGATAGAGACCTTATCCTATCAACGACAGTAGCCATGAAGGTTTTCAATAGTTATCATAAAAGTGCTTTCGAGTAACTTCTAACAAGTTCAACTAGTTAGCAATAATAAACATAACTCTCGATTCACCGTTACAAGACTCATTCACATATGTTTCCGCATTTTACTACAAGAACACTCTCTGTCAGCCATAATACGATAGTAGACCTGTAAATGAAATAGTATTGATGCCAATCTGGCCATAAAGGGTTCGACACTCTGCCCTTCCCTTCCCTTCTTACCCCCTTCACCTTGCGGTAAGGAAACAAGCTCTACTCTCTACTCTGATATAATGCAACTATTTAATTTTCCACATGCTTCACCGAAATATCGGTTATGCTTCCCACCACCCCCCCCCAACAACAACAACAACAACAACAAAGTCACCTATCTTCTACCCCTTTAAACTCCGAATGGCTATGCTAAATGCTGGATATCTTAATTTTATGCCGGCCTTCTGCTCGCGGAGAAGAAAATCAAATGCCTAAAAAAAAAAAAAACGCCGAGCCGAATGTCTTTCATAATGTTAATGCAGCCCACTGATAATCCCCGTCGATGTTGACCCATTTCCCTTCATCTATTGCCTTTTCCCAGCCCATGATCACAGCTAGCAATCGACATCCCATTGCGCTGATAGTGCAAATAACAGCGTCGCTAGCCTGGCCCAAGACAGCTAGGTCCATCGCGTAGGCCCGTCCCATAAGCCCTCTAAGCCGCATGGTCTCCGCCGACGGTTTAGGCGCTATCTGTGATTTGCCTGCCAAATTGGCGTTGTTCACTGTAGTGTGGCCCAGGTTCCAGAACATGCTCGCGAAGAATCCTCCCTCCCAACCGAAAGTCTCGTCCACGAACTTGTGCATCACCGACTTATCTGGGTTAATCTTTTGGATGTGTTGCTTGCTGGCAAGCTTGATTTGCTCTTGTGCCCTCAGAGAGCCTGAGAACTCTTCTGTTTCGTAGACGTCGGGATCGTCCGACGCGATGATAGAAAACGAGTGCTGTTTTGCTATCGGGTCCTCACCTCCAAGGAGAGTACTGGAGTTATGGTACTCTTCAATAAGCTCCTTGGACTTTGACGTATAGAGATTTAGAGGGATGTACGCGCCATTATACTGGTACTCGTACGGATGCAAATCGCCATGTCGAACATGAACACCGATGATCATGCCGTCGTTGTAGCTTCCCTCTTTAACTTTGACCATTGTCCTCAGCTCCTTAACACGACGGTCTACATATGGTTGATCCTCATCATTTAAACGGAATAGAGCCTCGTATCCAACACGAGCAAGGTCGTATATTGGCCGCTCTCGATCGACGTTGCTTCGACGAAGATTTTCGTACTCGGAATTAAAGCTCTTGCCAAAAGTCTCAGACGCGGTGGCCGTTGATACGATCAAGTGTCGCGCGCTGTGGGGACACGGCAGCATCTCGTGGCGCGGCGGCGCGCTGCAGTCAGGCGTCGGTGGCGCCTTGAAGATAGTAGTATAATCGCCATAAGCCCATCGCGAATCATCAATAAAAAAAGCTCGCTTTTCCTTCTGGGCTAGACCATACGCCATCCACAACATCATCAAAGTAGGACCTAGTCCGGCATCGGCCGACTCGAGGATGAATGTCAAAGACGTCTTGCAAGTGCTCCTATCCATTAGTCCGTCCGCCTCGTCTCCTACTAAATGACCATCTTGAGCCTGCGCCGTCACTTTCCATGCCTTCCCCACTCCCGGTAGAAGTCCTCGTTTTTCGGCGTCACCAACATCGACAAAGTAGGGATCCTCGTAGTAGTAATCTACCTGAGCCTCTTGAGAAGGCTTTGTGTGACCGTGTAGCTCTCTGACGTGGGTTGCCACTTCTTGGCATTTGATGCAGATATCCGAATACTCCTTGGTGGTCAAGGGGAAGTTATATGTAGGTGGTATGGATACTGTCCACTTGGATCTGCCCTTCTTGTCCGTAACAGCGATGGGCGTGGGGAACTCAGGCAAGTCATACTGGCCAACCATTTCATACTCTTCATGATTGTCCAAAGCCCATCCAACAACAGGTACTAGTACTTGCTTCTTTACAAGAGCCCTCACAACAAAAGAGACCAGCGCTAAACTAAGGATCCATGCGGCAACCCGAAGAACTCGACTCGGTCTCGGTCCGGTAGCTGATTTCCGTGGTCGGGGTACCAGAGCTGGTAAACCGGGAGAAGGGGGCGGGGAGAACATTAGATGATTAAAGCTAAAGCGCGACGACGTTGCGGATAGTGGTGCCTTTTCATGTTGATAGGATGCGGCCCTACGTAAGTTTAGTCGAGGAGTAGAGACAATCATCTTGGCATGGGTGCTCTGGGATAAGTCCAGAGTCGGCGGCATCGTATAAGGGGGTTAGTGACGTCGGTGAGGACTTCACTACAGGGACAACCTGGGGAGTGGGACGGAAACTCGGGATGTGGCGTCCGGATATTACAGCTCGCGAGCATATAAGGAGTGACGGTGAGCTGAGCTGAGCTGCAGGGCGCTGCAGCGGCGAAAGAAGGCGGGGAATAAGATATGAAAATGAGTGACTGGATGATTTAGAGGCGGTGGATTACCCTTTAGAGCCAGGCATTGGGCATACGGTGAGTGGTCGTTTCTCGTCTACATCTGTATGTAGTGTATCGAGGAATATGTACCAAGTAAGGTTTACCAGCTTAACTACCGAAGATGGTGAACCTCGAGTCGCAAAAGTGAGGGAACTCCGGGTGGTGGCCGAGGCTTGTGCGACGCGGTACTTGTATGTCTAATGTCTTCGACACTCGAGGTGATCGTACCTAGAAAAAGTAGGTGATCGCTCCTACGCCGCGCGCGACGACTCAGTCCAACTATTTCCCCCCTTCTCGGCACTAGATCGTAGCTGGCAAGACAGCCCTCCGCCGCTTAAGATGTGCTGAGAGTGGTATCCCAGGGAATGGGGACAAATGGGGGTTAGAGAGGATCCAATATAATTTGGCCACCAATACTTTTCTTTACTTTCTTTTTCTTTTTCGGGTGGTGAGACGACGATCACAGACCAACGACCCAATAATGTGGAGGGCCACGAGGCTTGGGGATAAGTACAGAGAATGGATACCCAGCAGCCCCCGAAATGTTCCAGTAAGGAGTTGCTATCTGAGAAAGACCAGAATGGTCACAAGACCGAGGACTACCGAAGCCGCGGTGTAAGACGGAGAGAATATTCCGTATATCGAGAGAACTTTCGGCATTACCTACCGAAAAGCCTAGAGAAGAAAGAGAAGACGTGCCGAAGCACATGAATCAAAGAAGACGAGAATACCTAAGTGTAAAATAGAAAAGAAAAAGCTATGACACCATCGCGGTTACGCAGGGTAGCGGGATGATGTCAGACAAGAGAAAAGGAAACGAAGGAGAGACTCAGATCATATGCCTACAAGGCCCATTTCTCTCCTCCGAGGAAGATCGACCTACCGCAATTTTAGGAATTTCCTGATTCTCCATCGGCCCTGTTATGGGTTTGCATTGCAAGGGGGTTGAGCGGAATTCGAGCTGAATTCTGGAATTGCCCAAACGGCTTAATGGGAAAAGGATGATTAACAAACGAACGAGGGTGGATGTGTTTTAATCTGATCCAGCTAATCTGATCCAGCTCCCACGATTTGTTGTTGGACCACGGGAGAGTTAGGCAAACGGTAAAAAAAGCTTATTATTACATGTTAGACAGTGCCTTAGGTACTTTTACCTAGGTTAGGTCTATTCTGGTTAAACAGATCCATTATGGCAACTCGTGGGTTCCCATATACTAACATGTATGTACTAACTATACTACTACTAGGTGCTTAGTAGACGGATTGTCGTTCCTACGAAAAAAAAAAATTTAAGCTTTGCAAGTGCAGCCGAACTTGTACCCTTTAAGTAGTTACTAAAGTAGGTCTAGCACCAGTGTAGCATGAGCAACCAATCGCAACACAGTTAGCCTCGAGCTGCTGCACTTTAAGGAACACCAACGTCAGTCCTTTTTTTCTTTCCTACCCTTTTTTCCCAAATTCCATTCCCACTAAGTAGGATCCCCACAACGGGCGTACCCCAATCCTCGGGTGACACGGTGCCCATCATATTTACGACGTACCAGCGTACCTACCAACCATGCATTAGGTACACCTACCTCATAGGCTATGGAAGACCGCATCGAAATGATTGGACGCAACTTAGCTCGAGAGGGATCGCCATTTGAAACCCCTGAACTTCTGAAACAGCACTAAGGGCTGTTGCGAAAGAGCCCATTTCCTTATTGGTTTTTCCCGACTCGTTTTCTTTTTTGTTGTTGCTCAATGGTGGCTCGTTAAGGGAAGATCGGTCCCTGGAATTAAGTACGTAAGGTTAAGTACCTGTTAGTTTTCCTATCACGAGACTTGACGTACAAACGCTTGCAATCCTGTTTGTCCTTTTTCTTTTTTTTTTTTTTTTTTTTTTTTTTTTTTTTTTTAATAAACCTCGGATGGCCGGAATTCTCGGGTGCCCTACGTATGAACGACTTACCAATTTTGGTATTTTCGTTTGGTCGTTACGACGGAATTCCGGTAAATGGGTTTACATAGGTTTAGGTACTGTCAGACATTTCTGCCGTAATAGTCAATCGGAAGGCATAGATTCATTTGGCAATACTTCACAAGCAACAGGCAGCATGTCCTGTCAGCCGGGCTAAGACTTTTCCCCAGCTTGCTTTTGCTTATTGGCGTCCCCCCCATACATACCTATGTATCTAATGCAGGTGCGGACGCCAGTATATGCGGTATGAAAGAGCTATGAAGATTACCAACGAGATGCTTGGTTGGACCCGACTAAGGCGTTCTGTATTCGCCGAGCGAGTTTTCCCGTTCGTTGCAGGGATGTGGCACAGCAGCTACGAATCCACGATAGTAAGTAAATATCGCTCTCGGTTGTTGCTATTGTGCTTCTCTTTCCTGTGCCGTCGGGCTTTCTGAAGCTACAATATTTCGCTTGAGTAAATCTTACCAATCTACATCTCTAGCATTTTATTTATTTATAACACCCCGTCCTTCCAACGGAGCAAATTGGTCGTATTATTGCTAGATATTTAAACAAATAGACTTCTCCGGAATCAATTTCGTAGCCGGGTAATGAGAGGTAACGGAAGTTAAATAATACTACCGATGACTTCACGAAGTTACGAAGAGGCATGGCCTGTAGTGTTTAAAAATAGCATCACGGATCCTTCACGCATAACCACCGCCTCTTCAATAATATCCTTCCTCTTCCTATAACCAAGCCCGGCTGTTCATAGGTACTATCGTCAACCATCCCCAAACCCGATGCTATGCCGTGAAAACTACCATATTAAAATGCGTTTCAACTTTACTACACGACATGCTAAGCCGATGGGCCACGGCCCAATATCCCAGTGCTCAGCTCACATAATGCCATCACGTACATACATACGTACATACTACCTCACTAACTAACATCGTCCCACACCATCTATGTGAAAGTCGATCGCACCCAGCCGTTTAAGTACGTATGCGTATGCGTATGCGTAGGGATCCGATGTTGGGTACGGTCTGCCACTTAAGCATCTAAGACCGGATCCGGCTTTAAGATGTAAATATAGCACGTAAAACACGCATGGCACTAAGAAAGAGAAATACCAATTCGTTTGTCGTTCTGTCCACGGCGTAATAAAACACCCCCAAAGATACCAAAAAGAGATGAAGACGAAATGATAGGCGAATGCAGCCGCCCGAACTCCGAGCGCTTGGTCGGCGGGAAGGCTAGCCACCTACCTTATTGTTCGCGTTCGTTCTGTATATTGGTACTAGGTATGTATATTGAAAGTAAGATGTGCACCAGATCTATACTAGAATAGTAAATGAGGATTGCCTCTTGTAGGTATATCCTAGGAGCCGGAGATGATAGCATTGCATTATCCAGCCTCCTTTACCAATCCCGTGGAGCTTATGAAGCCTCAAAATCGAGTGTGGTTTCACAGCTTCAATAAATTTTCTGTAATAGGTTCCGAACCAAACAGCCCAAGAAACAAATGCGTCTATGGTAATTAGATCATATTTGCGCCCCCTTTTAATGAGCCTGGGCTTAGAATAGTTTTCAATAATATACAAGACGAAGACGCCCCAAAAGGATGAAAGGTTGTTCTTGACACCTATTCACATTCCCCGTTGACTGCCATTAAGAAAAAAGAAACAATCCTACCATCCTCATTTTAATACATATTGATGATAGCAATAACATAGCCATTGTCCCACGGCTTAGAAACGGCTGAAATGACCCGTCAACCTCCTTTCCTTCGTCAGGACATTCACGTTCCACAGGCTCCAAAGCGTAGCAAACAGATGAATTTGATAGGGTATAAAAACAAACGGTGGAAGCAGAGCCTAACCGGAACGCCACGTTAATTCGCAAATATGATGGATACTGCTTCCTGAATCGCACATGGGGATATCTACGCCTCCAGCACGACTTGCTTTGACTCGTTAAATATCGATGATGGGCTTTGTCGTAGTGGTTCGAGTTCTGTATTGCCCGGCTCGGTTACGGTCTCGCCTTTCCCATCATTAGCCACCTGAACGCTGCCACGGACGCCCCTGACGATGTGGCCCGCCTCGACTCGGTCCTGAATCATCTCATCTAGGATACGGCTCATTTCGTCAACGCTCCTAGTCCGTTTTCGAATCGGCGATTGACCCTTAGAAGATGCGGAGACCGGTGGATCAGGGAGAGCTCCTTGGGGCGGCGGGCTTGCCGCTTGTTCGTACAGCAGAGATGATCTGGTCTCGCTCCTTGAAGTATCGATTCCTTCAGCAGCGTCTCTCGAGCGAGCTGCATTGCGCAGAGCTGACAACATTCGATCTTTGTCTTCAAGCCTCGCCTTTAACTCCGCGATCTCGGCGTCTTTCTCTTTCATTAGAGTGGAAACACTATGGTCTTCTCCAACCATAATGCCCTTGTGCGGCGCCGAGAATCCGCTCGAAGTCCGTGAAGAGCTAGCACGCCGTGCTTGTAAGAGACGTTTCTCGAGAGTAGCGATATATCGGTTTTTATCGGCGAGGTCTGCCTGTAACGCCTGATTTTGGTTCTGCAAAGACGCCGTGCCGTCACCGTATTCGCCCAAACTGTCCTCGTCATCATTTGATCCCTGCTCACCTATGCTAGAGCGTCGCTTCCTGATCGATCTCTGGCCAATGGTGGATACTGAAGAGCCCATGGAGCCGGGTCTTTCTAGAAACGGATGGCTACCGTTAGATGTGGCAATTGATGTCCGCAGAGACGCCTGAGAAAACCTAGTATGCATTCCAAGCGAACTATACGTCCCGCCGGCGTTAACTCCCGTAGACTTCGAGCTGAGAATTAATCGGTTCAAATGGTCGATGCGCTCTTTCAACGCCGTGCGTGCGAGTTGCATTTCTAACATCTGCTCCTCATGTCTTGCTTCCGCTTCTTTTTCTCGAACGCGCTCCTCTTCCTCATCTTTGACCTTGTCTTCATCCTCGACTTTGCTATTACCTGACTTGGCCTGGCTTTCGAGTTGAGTTCTCAGCTCTTGTATCTCCATTCGGTAACGCTCTAGGAGAACCCTTGCTCCTCCCTCTCCACCGGCGCCGAGGGCTTCTTCAGCTCGTTTAGCATGGCTAACAATACTGTTTTTCGCTCTTGAAGCGAACTTGAGCGTATTTAATGTTTCGGTCGCATGACTGTTTGCGGAAGCCGCGCTATTGGCTGCGCCTGTCTGGATCGTGCATAAAATACTGACTAACGAGTTTCCAGAGAGTGCTCCCTGGAGAAGTCTGGTTAACTTGCTATCTCGGTACGGTAGATGCTTCGCATCCTTATCAGCTCCTTTAGCCTCCTTCTGTTCCGAAAGCTTCGATATGACCGTGCCTAGCGTTAGCAAACTTTTGTTGATGTGAGAACCCTCCGCCCGGCGTTCCTTCGTTTCGGCAGCTTTTTCTGAGCCAGCTAGATCGATCAAGCTTAGTGTGGAAACACGAACACCACCCGGAAGTATGCCTGAACGCTTGCTATCTCCACCAGAGCCGCCAGGAATGCGCTCTCTACTCTCAACAACGATCTGGACAACGGCATGACTGCGCGAACTCCTGGCATTGAACTGCGTGCTTGCAGTTCTTCGAGCTTGATCACCACGGGCAATCACTCGTAAGAGTTGAGTCGGGCTCTGGACGATTTCTTCTTTCAAGGGCGTAGCATAAACGCCTCGTTTACTATCTTCCCGTAGCTTAATTTCCTCTTGCGCGGCTGCCCCAGCACCATTGCCAGAAGCCATACTTAGAAGGTCATGGATCCTTTCGTTGTAGATTTCCAGATAGCTGACACGCAATAGGAACTCCCTGGATGGAGTTTCGCGGATATATGAGAAAATGTCCGTTATAGCCAGCGGGATCACGCCAGGTGACGACGCAGTTCCCTGCATGGAGAAGGTCTTGCCGGTACCCGTCATACCATACGCGAATACGGTACCGTGGTATCCTTCCATAACCCGACGAACTAAGCGTTTAGCAAGGTGATCATAGACTCTGCTATTATCATCATGTGTCGTGAAGACATTATCTATCCGCTAGTCAGCTTCATTATCAACATATACTAGGATTATTGCGCACTCACCGTAAAAATAATCGCCTCCTTCGCGGCCGCGATAAGCTATGAGAGACCGGCGGCCATCTACCATCCATTCGCCTTCTGGATTATTATTCCCGTTGCTTCCGGCGTCTGGTCTAACTCTAACGCTAACAAGGACGTTTCCCTTACCCTCCATTCCTTTAGAAGTGTGCTTGTCACCGACTGAAGTCCCCGCTCCATCAGCTAGATCATCGTATGTGGTGGCCGATGTCGAGTATGAATCCTGGGCAGAAGAGCTCCGGCTTTGCGGCGGAGACGAAACGCTGATGAATCCATCCGAGTGCCTCCCACCAGCGCCGCCCAGAAGCGATTTGCCATCTGCGCCACCATTTAATAAACTCGGGGCGCTCGCCAATTTAGATGTTGGCTGCGGAGTGCGCGCCTTTCTCGCAGGTGTGATCGATCCGGACAAGGGACTCGGGGGGTGGGTTGAAGTGCGGCTCGGCGGTTGAGGAAATGAGTTTATACTGACGGTTTTTCTAATGGTCCTTCCAGCACTATTAACCCCGTGAGAGCTCCTTGGAACCGGTAGTGCCGTGGTAGGCGCAGGGGACGGAGGAGGTCCAGAATATGTGTTTGCTGAGGGTGCTCGAAGGCCACTCCTCGGTGAAGCTGGGGTACTAGGAGTTGCTAAGCCGCCGGTGCTCTTTCGTGTCTTTGCGACGGGCAGAACTGGAAGAGTGCTTGATGACGTGCTATTCGAAGCACGCGGTCTGGGTAAAGTGGTCGCCATGATGTCAATGGTATAAAATGTCTACGGCCTGACACAAGACGAGCGGGAGATTCGTTCGACGGCGTTGCTTTTCGTATCAAATGCAGCCCTATAAACTTTAGGGTGCTCACCGAATATCGCTAGCGAATCGGGTCGGAGATTCGAATTGTCGAATTGTCGAATAGAAGATTATAAGATTAGAAGCATCCTTTGCGTCCCATAGCTAAAGTCTTCGCTAACAGACAACTTTTAGAATGAACGTCGCGTCCTCCAATTCGGTCGTCGAAAAACAATCGGATGCGGGCGACAATCGGTCCAACAGGAGGTCGAGCTGGCTATAAGCTGGTTATACCGTCGCGACCAAGCAATGCGCCCTCACAAATTTAGGAGGTCTCGATATGTATGACCAGTAGGATAAGTCACCGACAAATCCCCACGTACATAAACAAGAATCTAAGCCAGCTTCTTTGAAGATGCTAAGCTATTCTAAGTTACTTGTCAATACGTCACAGATTCGAATATCAAAGAAACCTTGTGTGGTGTATACAGATATGCTAATTGATGAACTTACTCTATCCATAAGCTAAGTAGATAGATATGTAAACGTATAGCCAGTATCGCGGTATCGGAACCCGGTCGAGAATAGGTAAGTTGACGTTTTCAGTTTAGGGTATCTTAGAAGTCAAAGGGATAAATTGCCGGAAACCGACGGTGGAAGGATCCAGCAATTCCTGGTTTCACGGGACGGCAACGGATACAAAGGACAAATGAGACTAGATCGGTGGTTGGTACTATTTGTCGCGGCTCGTTGTGTGATCTACTTTTTCTTGATTGAGGTCCTTGTAGATGAGATAGGGCCGAGACAACTTTTTTTCAGAGACACCGCGTAGTCGTTTCTATTTTGGGGAGGGGATAGAGAGAGAGAAAAAGCAAATGAACGTGTGGAGGTATCGCAGAAGTTTAAAAAAAGAGGTAACTATCGAAGGTATCGAAGGTATCGAAAGTATCAAAGGTACAAATTAAGAGGTAAATACGTAAGTACGTAAAATAAAACGAAAGAAGGGCGAATGACGAGCGTCAAGCTTGGGGTAGCTACCTCAAGCAGAACGATGAATGCTCTCGAAAGAGTATTCGCGAAGGTTTAGGAACTTAGGTAGAGTTCGCGAACCTCCAGTGGAGAGGAGGGAAAGTGCTCTCAGTACTCTCAATGCACTCTCAATGCTCCCATCCCGTCCTATGAAAGTTACTAGCCTTGATGTGGTCATGGCTTAACGGTTGGGCTGCTTTGGGTTTGGCGTGGGTTCGGGGGGATGAGAGGATGGTACGTCCAGAAGCTCACCCTAGGGTAGGAAGTACCCTGTAATATTTTAAGTTACACGTCCATACACATACATCACGGTCGAAGCTGCTTAAACTTGTACCTAGACTCGTCACATTTCCGTGCTAGGTACATATGCTAAGTAACCTTAAAAGTCGTTACCTTTTATCGGCAATATCTAATACGACTAGACTAACCTTCAACTTACATCTTCATACTCAATTATGTACGATAAATTCTCTTTGATAAATACAGCACGACTCGAGACGAAAAAAAGGGAGAATAATAGATGTTGGTTAGGTACAACAACACCAAATGACGACCGAAGCAACTAGGGTGTATCTTCATCCTTTCTCTCATTATATAACGAACCCCTGATATGGACTTGACCAATACAGTACCTTACATGCAAATTAGAGCCAAGATTGCTGTAGGGGTTTGCACAATCACGGACCATTCTCCAAGTATGGTCCAGATCCAGGGATTGGATAAGCACGCTTTTCACGACAAGGGGGTCCCCTGTCGCGTGTGATAGAGGCTTCGTTTTTTCGACGAGAAAGTAGCTTCGCGTATTAAGAATACATAGGCTCGACTTCGACGATCCTCTCAATCTCCATCAATAGTTCTGAAGGCTTGCTGGTTTGCGCGACTTTTACACGTTTACGCCCTGTCTCACTCGCTCGTGGCAATTCCAAACAAAAACAGGTCTCTCGGTTGTGGCTGGCGCGAATTGCTTAGCTCTAGAGTTGGAGACTAGAAACAATTAAAGCCACTGGCATTGCTTTTCTTCTCCTTTTTCTGACAGGCGGGACAACATCTGCTCAAATACCACAAGTCTCAGACTTTGCAGTACCTTATTCGAAACCCCTTTATCACTAAGGGCTACGACAGTTGGCAGGGCTGCTGTTTATCGAGAATCATCAATTGAACTTTGCTTCCATGAGAAAGCTGCCAAACCCTTCTGCCGGGCCAACAGGGCTATCTTGGACCCCTGACTACTCCATTCGCCTACGGAATACTTTCCCCTTTTGATAAAGAGGGTGGTGTATTGAAAACATCACGAAAAGTACCTACTCCGAATGTTTACTACAGTAAAATGTAAGTGAGCTTAAGCTTATCTCCTGTTCCCACTCGTCGAAGGTTCTTCTGCATGGTCCGCTATTTTGTGCGTATGTGAGTTGCTTGCATTCATGCTTCGTTGCGGATCAGTCGAGAGTCTTGTATTCGTTGACTACATATCCGCCCAGGTATGGTTTTTGGGCCTACTGCAAGAGCGGGAGTTACAGTTGCAGACGCAATGGAACTTCACCTACGCAGGTACAGCAGCCGATCCTAAAGGGCCGTATTTCTTTCCCGTCGTAGGTGGGCGGCATTGGAGACACTATGTATTGACAGATTACTACAAATCTCAAATGCCGTCTAAGCTCAGGCTGGCTTCGGTACAAATCCTGCTAACCATAACCCTGAATTAACGAAGTGGGGAGATTTCATTTGGGTAACGAAAAGCTTTTAAAGAATCCATCTGTGCCTCCCCCACGATCAACTGTCAATCAGGGCTCAGGGCTCAGGGGTCCTCTGTTTACGCGCATTTACTAGTTTCTCTCATCACAGCTTTGCTATGTGGTACTTATCTCGACGGCTTATTAGTTTAAGATCTACGATTATTCAATATGCGTCGAGACAACCGATTAATCATGGTAATTTCGGAATTTGTCAACCATGCTATCGCTTCTGCAAGATGTTAGGTCTGTGCCCCATGCATCACCCACGCATTGTAAGCACTCTATGCATAGAGTAGGCTAGTAATAATAGTCGAATGGGCTGCACGGACTATAGTACAAGGGAGTCTGTTACCTATGCACTCCATCCCACTTTTGCGTACCATAGTTGCATAGTATGGAGATATGTACGTGATTAAATCCTAACCGTCTGTGCAGCAGCGCAATATTAACCTAGCATAGCACGTTTCCAATCTGTGATATTGGAATTACGCGCTGCTGTCTCCGCCTGTTTGCCCGAGGATTCATTCATCCCGCTCTTATGTACATACAGCTAAAAAGCTAAGCCTTATGCGATTGCGATGCGTGGCTTATTGCGCAAGCACCCGAGAGTCAGGTTTATCGGGAACCATCAGGGAGTTTCGATTCGGGAAATAAATACGCCTTCACTCCTCCAGCTTACATACATACCTACCTACCTACCTACCTAACCTACATAGGTACTACATATACACATACTGGTCCGCGGGCGGGGGGATATAGCTGGTAAGAAGCCTTAGCCCAAGTCTCAGTTACGGAAAATTCCCATCGTCAAAGCGAAACTCCATTTTGATCACAGATGCATTAGGACTACTAGGGGTTCGTTCGTGCGTATTTTCTGCTCGGATATACGTGACGTACCTGTGTATCTATCTAGCTGTCCAGATTGTCCAAGTATGTAAACAGAGATACATTTATTATACCTGAGTAAGCAGCAGCATTAAATAAATAACTATCCTTAAAAAGTCGAAGATTATCCTCTTCTCCAAGATCTTCCATAGCCCATCATCTACATACCTACTCACGCCGTTTCATAAAGATAGGGGTCACCCAAGCTTTGCCATTGGGACGCGGCAATGCTTGCCATTTGCGTCGTGCTACATGCATACATACATACGTGGGAATCATACCACCGTCCTGGAAATACCATCTCGTCGATAGTCGCCTTTTAAGGAAACTTGAAAAGAGACAAAAGGGGACTCCATCTGATTCCACAGAACCTCGGATGATCCCGTTAAAGAGACATTAGGGTAAGTGATTACACCTCCGAGGCTACGGGCTGGACCCCTATATCAGCGACGGGTAAGGTATATATATGAGGCTGCTACTATTAGTGTAGTCGCGTATTACGACGTTTCAACTTCTGGCAGTGCATTAAGGGCTTGCATCTAAATGTGTGTATTCTTTCGAGATCTTGTCCTTGTCCCGATAAGTACAAGGATGGGTATTTCGGAGGGCTTAGCTATGTAGAATTGGGACGGGACCCTGGGGGGGTAACCAAGGCTTGAACGTCTTCTCGGGACTTTTTGACAAGTCTCATAGCCTTGCTAGCTTCCCGAACTCTGACCATGTCGGCTATACCGGTTTGATTTATCGTATTCTACAGGTAAAGATACAGGCAGGGTGTGTTAGGATGTGATAATTCTATATATATATATATGATAGTAGTTCTACGCCACAAACGGGTCCTCCTGACCTGCTCTACCTTTCTCATAGCTAGGTGTGGCCCCTTTAGATCACTGGTGATTCTTGGGAATGATCACGGCCCTGATCTACTGGGGATCTGCGAATCAATGTGATACCGGTCCGTCGTTACGTTTCTGCTTTGCTGTTTCATGTGTGTGCTCTCGGGTTTCTGATCGACGTAAATTATCTTATCGTGATTAACTATACCATGGTATCGGTTCTAATCACTATCATGCCGGCGGTCATTTATGTTGGTCTTCGGCTTCAGCCGTTACTGCTAACAGGGTTTCGGTGAAAGCTCTTCAAAATGGATAGTTATGACTAAAGGCGTCGCGTGCTTCTTTTGTGCTCCTCGACAAGCGCTAGATCAAGCAAACTGACCTGGAAACTAGTTACTAGTTGCCCCAATCGTATGATGTTCGTCTCTCGGCTTGCATCGTAAACCGTATAGCCTAATCCGACGATGCCGTGTCTAGCAGTAGGATTTATACTCTGGACTGTGTTGCACAAACGGGGATGCGTCTAGTACATCCGGGCGATGAGGGGTAATCCTAGGATGCTCTTGTACATCTATCAAATGCGCAAAAACTCATATCGCACGTATCCCGCGACCGACGCTTCGGGTGTCGAAAACTTCAACCAAACCGGATCCAACCGCCTCTTGCAAGACCCAGTCGAAAGAAAGTCCGTAGAACTGCCTCCACTTTCTGGTCTGTCCGGGTAAGATACTCGCGAACTCTCCTCGTGAGCGCTTAGCTGCATAACGTGCTTCTTCTTTGGCGATACCTCCGTCCCACCGATCTCTTAGCACCGTCTCCGGCGCCTCTCGGAATCGCGACTTGCCTAACAACGAGACTAGGTGCTCGAGCGCAGAGGATAGAAGCTTTAGGAATGTGCCGTTTCCAGGCACAGCGAGTCTAAGTTCCGTGCCGGTGGTGTCGAGCCGGGGTGCGCCGAGTGAGCCACCTCCAGTACCGCCGGTCTTGTGAACTACACCCTCACCTCCTACGGCGCCAAGTGAACCGGTTGGTTGTTTCGAAATAATATCGAGTGATGTGAGTGTGATTTTGTCCTCCGGTCGCGAGTATACGTTTGTACTATGGGATGTAGAGCCATAGCGAGTTGCGCCGGTATGGTTAGCTATCAAAAACCCAGCCTTAATAAGCTGATCTACCTCTGACGCACGAAGAGCATTCGGCCCAAGCGCCTGGACTCCTGGGTTCTCTTTTAACAGTCTGGCTAGGCTATCCTTCGTATCCATATCTAGTATCGTAGAATCTTTCACCAGCTGCTCAAAGTCTGCGGCGAGTACTATAGTTTCACCTATATCCCCCCTCCCAGGAACAACTACCTTACGCAGAAATCCAGCCCGCGCGAGTTCGGCAATTTCCCGCTCTGCTGCGCTCGGCGATTCTAGTAGAGCTTGTATATGTGATACGGTTACGACCGGAGGAAGACGCTTCCGATAGTTGAGAACTTCAGCAATTCTAGTAGAGTTCATTCCAGCTGCTTGCTCGGGCATAGAGGAGAACATATGACTACGGATATATAAGATAGCTTGGGGAACGTCGCGCAAGTTCAGATCGGTCGCTAGGGCCTTGACAAGTCCATAGTCATCAAGCTTATCGTTAAAGAGATCGTCCGCATCATCTTCGTCCTCTGCTAACGATTTCCCACGTTTGGGTCCAGGTTTGCGACGAGGCAGAGAAGAAGCCCATGAGGATGGTGAAGACGAAGACGATTTTGCGCCAGACTTTTTGGACGACTTCTTAACCCGGCTGGAGCCTCCTAAGATCGACCTTAAACTCATTTCTAGCAGAAAAAACCATGGGAAAAATCAAGAATCCGCCCTCAGTTCATTTTAGGTTGTCAGAAACAGTCATATCGTCAAGATATAATAATTAAGTGAGCCTAGCCTTGGCTGCCTGGCTTAAAAGAGATACGTAGTAAGTATACAAGTATAGTTGTCTTAACGAATGAAACGCTGATAATATATGGAGTGTTCGGTCTGTGGCGGCATTCTCAGTAAGGGGAAGTTTGATTGGTTGTAACAAAGCCAACCAAAAGGGGTTCACTCTTTAGCCTAACCGAATTCGGCTTTCTATGAATAACGAATTGTGACACTATGAAGCTTCAAAAGTCTGCTCTTTACGAGCCTACTTACTACATTCAATAGGTCTCATTTTTATATTCTTAGATATAATTTGTTTGATCTTTTAAAACAACAACAACAACAACAACAGCAAGGTGTCAGATATCTATATTGTGACTCATTTACATCCAATATAGATATATAATATGCATCGATCCGAAGAGAGCGCCAAGAAAATTCTAGTTTGCTCTTTACTTCATCCCTTTGCCTAAAACATATCTAAGTGCTTTATCCAAGATGGCACCAGTCATCATTTTAATACGCCACGCCGAAGCTCTACACAGTCAGTATTTACCCTATGTGCTTTATTGAGGCAAATTCTAATAGATTATAGATATTGCTGATAAGTCATCTCCAACCACTTGGCTAGAATGTAAGGGGCTAACATAATAGACACACGAATGGGAATTACCTGATCCAGTCCTGACTGAGAAGGGTATAGAACAATGCAAAGCTCTCGCAGCAAAACTTGAATCGAGTTTCAACTTTGCTCCAGATGCATGCCGCATAATAGTGAGCCCTTTAAGAAGGACGTTGCAGACCGTACAATATGGTCTACAGTGGCTTCGAGATCGTGGAGTTCCTACTGAAGTTCGTGCAGAATGGCAGGTATGTATAATATATCACCGAGAAACTGTCCGCTGGAGTACTAACTATTTCGCAGGAAACCACAGACAAGCCCTGTGATATTGGTGATGATCCCGCTACAATCAAAGGTGAATGGCCCGAGTTTGATTTCTCGACCTTAGACCCAGTCTATCCACAGAAGACTGGTATGTATGAAAACTCGGAAGATGCCTTCCAGAAGAGAGCGTCATTTGCCAAACAATGGCTCTTCGAACGTCCCGAGGAGTGCATCGTCGTTGTCACACACTCGGGATTCTTGAAACGAGTCATCAAGGGGCCGAAATATCAAAACGTGGAGTATAGGACATATGAGCTTGTCGAGGATGCGGATGACCTAAAACTTAACGAGATCGACAGATATGTCTTTTGAGTAACTATAGAAGCTGTTGCATTGGTGAGAATTACAGGGCAGGTCGAAGATACCGGTAGCAACTGGTGGTATGGCAAGGGAGAGGATACACATGTGCCCCTCGCTCAGAGGAATGTCTGGTAGCAGTGAACTATAAGAAGGTAGCTAAGGAATGACAATTATTCTCTGTAATTTTCTGCAATAATAGAAGATTTATTACTCAAATTCATATTTGACAATGGTCACAGTACTATTGAGCAGACACAATATAATTCAACTGACTTGCTTGCATATCCGATGAAACGCCGTATTCGATGACACGTGTCGCCCATAAGAGAATCGAATGAAACGCAAGAGATGCAAGAAATACAAGAAATGCAAGAGATTGCAAATTGCAATGTCGCCGAGATTTACCATGGGAATCCGATGTCTAGCGTATATCGAATTCCCTCAAACGAACGGCATATCATATTCTTGCACTGGACTCAGCCTTGAAGACGGTGTAGAATTATCGTCTGTAAGCAATCAAAAAAGATTGATTAAGAATCGGATGTGCTGATGAATGTAAAGATTAAAAAAAGAAAACGAGTGAAAATTTCATCCCGCGCAGAAATTTAGGTGTATCCGGTTACGTGACCCTGCTTCTTACGTAAAAGACCCTAGGCTAATGCTAGGGCGATCAAGACCCTTATGAATTTATGAGGGGTCCATTGGTTAAGACGGGGCGAACTTTGTGCATATCCGATTTGTACGTGTGTGTACGTACATTAGGTACATAAGAGGACGTACCTAGCATTTTATGTAAGGTATGCAATCTATTGATTTATTATTTTACCAAACACACCTTTTTCAGTACTTTACATGACATGACTCCAATCTTTAGGTTACCACCAACTTGAAATTCTCGATACGTATCTTAAATACAACTTCGACAATGGGCAATGAATAAGTCCATTGATATATGACTCCCTTACGGGAATGACGGCACTGCCATCTTACTCTAGTGTGGTGAGCCTGACGTCATCTAGATCGAAGGACGACTAAGAAGGGCGACTAAGAAAATTACCGGATATCTGCGCCGTCGACTTCTAGACACTTAGACACCTAGACAGACACCCTGATGGCTACCTTTTTTGACTTGGCACTTGGTTGCGTGCTGCCAACATGAGAACATGAGAACAATAGAGCGGCAGAACGGCAGAGTGGTCGTTCTCTTTCATCACCGCCGAACCCCTTTGACACCTCCACCTGATGATCCGTGATGGTCTCTGCAGCTCGACCCCAGCGCAAGTGATCCTTAGTAAACTCTGGAATACTAGGCTTTCGAGCAACTAGTGGATGCCATTTAGGCAAGTGCGGAACTGATCATTGTCGTGTGCCCATATAATGGCCATATTGTGGCGCCCCGAATGGGTGTTCCACGATGTCTCAGTTATTCAAGCTCTTCTCTCCACGGTTAACTTCCTACACGTGCGGAATCCGACGTTATGATTCGTCGCCTATTGTCAGCCTTCAGCCTTGGGGATGGGGAACCACCAAACCCTAATAACTAATTTAAGAACCCCATGAGCAGCTTTCTGTTTGTCCTACAGTTCTGGAGAGAAGGACTCTGGAAATTTTACTGAATAATGTGATGGTGTTCGAAAGTCGAAAGCCTTACTTAAGATACTTAAGAGTCAGAACGTAGTATTTAAACTACTTTATTATCGCCCATTTACCCACTTGGCACCGAGTCTTTGGCTAGAGACAATCTTCTGGCATTTGCTGTCGGTTTTATTGGATCCCCTGAACGGCCCAGCTAGCCCTGTTTTGCATCCGCCGACGATCATTTGGTACGCTTCGAGAAACTACGGCGACTAATGACGGAATTCCTAAAATATTAAACACGACAACATTAGATATTCTTTTTCAATTTACCAACCTATAAGCTAATAACCGCCACTTATCTATGCGATATCGTCTTCTCATTCAAATCTTTTTTTCATAGCTCTTAGAGCATCTTAAGCCGTTCAGGATGGTACCAAAGAAAGCAACCTGGCTTTGGGTAATTCCCAGCTTATTGGAGACTTTCGTCATAGGTGCTCCAACTACCGGAGCTCAATACGTGCTGCAGGCAAACCATGACAATAGCCAGTCTACGTCGCAGCGCAAGTTGCACGGCAGATTTCTACATATTACAGGTACACTCTTCTTAAAATGCCTACCACACACCATCTCCAAATCGTCTTTTTTTAAGACACTAACATCTCGTACCTTGCGCAGATCTACACCCAGACGAATACTACAAAGTCCACACATCTACCGAGGAGAATATCGCATGTCACCGAGGCCAAGGCCCGGCTGGCACCTATGGCGCAGAAACTTCTGACTGCGATTCTCCGCTGGCGTTGGTTAACGCGACACTCAATTGGGTTGCCTCCAACCTAAAGGACGAGATTGACTTCGTAGTTTGGACTGGCGACTCAGCTCGCCATGACAGCGATGAGGAAATACCCCGCCATAACAAAGAAATCCTAGCCATGAACCAAAGGATTGCCGACGCATTTGTGACCACATTTTCAGACGATAAGGGGCTAGTAGTTCCAGTCGTCCCAACTTTCGGCAACAATGACATATACCCTCACAATATATTATTACCAGGTCCGAACAAGATTTTGAAGACTTATACCGATGTCTGGCAGAATTTCATTCCAGAAGCGCAGCGACACTCATTTGAGTATGGCGGCTGGTTTTATGTTGAAGTCATCCCGAACAAGCTGGCCGTCTTTAGTCTTAATACCCTATACTTCTTCGATCGTAATGCGGGGGTCGATGATTGTGCACATCCAAGCGAGCCCGGATACAAGCACTTTGAGTGGCTGCGAATTCAATTGCAGTTCATGCGAGAGCGCGGGATGAAAGCTATTCTCATAGGCCATGTTCCTCCTGCTAGGACTTCCGGCAAGCAACTATGGGACGAAACCTGCTGGCAGAAATACACCCTCTGGTTGCAGCAGTATCGCGACGTCGTTACCGGCTCTCTATATGGACACATGAACATAGATCATTTCCTACTTCAAGATACCAAGGATATCGATTTTTCCTTTATCGAAAGCGAGCCCAACAAACGAGCAAGTATTCGCGAGACCATGGAAGATGAGGTTTCGATGGAATCTAGTAAAGATTATCTCATAGAATTGCGTGACGACTGGTCTAAATTGCCAAACCCAGTTCAAGGCCGGGACCTTGAAGAATCTGGGAAGAAAAAGAAGAAGGGCAAGAAAGGCAAGGGCGGGAAGAGCAAGATGGGCGGGCCTTTCGCGGAGCGATACCAACTGACTCTCATAAGCCCCAGCGTTGTCCCGAATTATTTCCCGAGTCTCCGTGTTTTCGAATACAATATAACTGGCCTTGAGGATACTCTAACATGGGTAGACACGTTGCGCACTTCTGGTGCTCAAGCCTTTTCTCCTGGTCCGGAGGAATGGCATGAACTGGAGCTCCGTGACGAACCTAAACTAGAGATCGAGAAGAAGAAAAAGAAAGGCAAGGGGAATGGTGGCAAGAAACCAAACGACCCCAAAGTCCCTATCCCAGACGCACCAGCCAAGGGAACGCCTCCGGGCCCCGCATACTTCCCCCAGCCTTTGACGCTCAAAGGCTTCACCCAATACTACGCAAACCTGACGTATCTCAACAACGACATCGCCGCGGACGACGGCGACGACGAGGTGTCGTCTTGGAGCTGGAACGCGGGCAAGCACTGGAACAAGAAGCCCAAGCACGCCAAGCCGAAGCCAAGGGAGTTTGCCTACGCGGTCGAATATACCACCTTCGACGACAAGATCTACAAGTTGAAGGACTTGACAGTTAGGAGCTTGCTGAAGCTCGCGCATAGGATTGGTCAGACCTCGGGTAATTCTAATGGGCTTGTTGGCGAGGAGTCTGAGCGCGATTATAACGACGATGAATACGAAGTTGATGAAGTGAAGGAAGACGGTGATGAGTCTGATAGAGAAGAAGAGGAGGAGGAGGATGAGGGATCAGATACCGACCTTGAAATCGAGAAGAAAAAGAAGGGCAAGGACAAGAAGAAGCACCGCAAGGGTCACAAGAAGAGAAAGGATACCAAGGTGTGGCTGCACTTCCTTAGACATGCGTTTGTCAGCACGAAAAGCACAGACGAGCTAAAGGATCTTGAATAAATAACCCGGCGAAGGACTGTTTTAATTGTTTTTGAGTCTAGGGTTAGGCATGGTGATTTTTTACAAGTTAGCTTTGGGCGTTTTGGTTGGCATGAACGGCGCTTTTGGGAGAAGGGCATTTGCTAGCTGGCTGCCTGAGTTGGCTTTTATTATGTGGTTTGTGTCTTTGGGAGTGAGCGACGTGGGAGGGGATACGATGATGATGATGACGATGACTACCTAGTATATAGGTATATCGATGCATAGCATGGCATAGCATGGCATGGCATTAGTGCATCTTGGTTGGGCGGGTTCATGGGTCCGGTCAGGTCAGGTCAGGTCAAATACATATTGGAGCGGCCGCCATACGGAAAGGACTCCAACCCAGCCATTTAGAAAGGCAAGCATCGGTTTTGGTTCGGTCATCTGTTATTAGACAGGCGGTATACCGCTTGATCCATAGCATTAGTATAGGCATAGGTATAGGCATCATATCACTTAGAAAGTGTGGAATCTATTTAAGTCCGCCTAGATTTATATTTGCGAACCGAAGAATCATCATCATCAATCATCATTAGTCATTTCTGGTATCTACAAATCCACCTATGTAAATAACACGCTTCCTAAACCTAGCCTCAAGCTGCTATATATGTATGGATAGTCCAAATACCTAGGTAGGTAGTCAGCTATTATCTTAAAGTATCTAAGGCAGAGAAACTTAATCCGAATCGCTATCCTCCGACGAAGAGAAGCCATTCCACTCCTCCTCCGTATCATCCAGCACACCCGTTCCCTCCGCCCTGCTAGCCTCTCCAACCCCCTCTTCTCCCTCTCCCTTTCCCTCATTACCATCGTCGTCATCGTCGTCGTCGTCATTGTCATCCCCCTCCTCCACCTCAAACGAACCGGTAATATCCCATCTGTCACCAGGCGCTTTATGACTAACGTACTTGACGAACTTGAGGGTGCCGCTATCGCGTAAGACTAGGGACATCTTGTTCCAGGCCGCGGCCTGGAAGAACAGAATATTATCATCGTCGCCGCTGGACTTGTACACAGCCGCGTCCTCGTTTGCTGCGTCGTCATCGCCTGCCATATATACCTCATGGCCGCCGACTTCCACTTCTTCCTCTTCCTCCTCGGGCTCCTTTTTACTATTCTTATTCTTCTTCGAGGTCTCAGCTTTAGCCTTGGCTTTGCCCTTCCCCTTGCCGTTGGTTTTAGTATCCTCGGCGCTTTCTTCTTCGGCGGCGGCAGCTTCTTCTTCTTCGTCTTCGTCGCCCCAGCCGCTTGTCGGCGTGATGCCTAAGGATAATTCAAGGCGCGGCTTGCCTTCGTGCCCTGTGGCGAGCGTGTAGTCTTTACCGCGTCTAAAGCGCCTAGCGACGAAGTCGTGGCTCTCAATCACGGAGTCTGTCGCCATCTGTAACCAGCGGCGGAACTGCGGGCTCGGGAGGAATTCCTCTAGGAGTTCTCTTATAGGCGAGTCTTCCTTTTTTGACTTTCCATTCTTTTTGGAGGTGTTGTTGTCTGGTTGAAGGTATAGGTACCGGTGCTTATGGGGTGGCTTTGCTACCCGCCAGGCACCCTTCTCAATCTCCGTAGCGTCCTCTGGTAGAGGTGCGCTATCTTGAGCGGCGACGTAGTCTCGTAGTTTCTTTGCAAACTTCTTCCCAAGGAGGTTAGGTAGAGTGATGCTGGCCTCTTCCTCGAATTGTTCTGAGATTTGCTCAAGGATATCAGGAGTGAGGTAGGTCGGGGCCATATACTTGAGCAAGAACTCTAGGTCGGCCTCGTCGAATTCTTCTTGAGAGCCCGACTGTGGTTGCTCGACCGGAACTGGTTTCTGCTGAGGCATGTCATACTGATCAGGGTTTCCTTGCAGTTGCATCAAACCGCTGTTCTTGGCCTGCTTCTCCTCGGCGCCTTCGACGTATCCGGCCTCTCCGACCTGGGGGATGTGGAACCAGCCACTGATAGCCATACGGACCCTTCCTCCCTCCTTCTGGAGCTTTTCTTTGCTCTCAGCATGGTATACTTCTTCGACATCGTGGAAGCTCTCGCCGGGCTGAACGGCAAAGAAACTCAACTGGTTCCACGCGGGGGGAATAACCTTGCTGATGTCCGGCGCAGGTGTCCTCGCAACTTGACCATCCTTGCCCTTGATCGTTCGCACGGGGAAGAGTCTTAGCGCGCCGCCCCATTCGGCTTTCCAGGGAATGTCGGGATCGGTCAGGTAGAGGATATAGCTGACTTTGCGACTACCAATGACATCGTCGTGGCATAGAAGATAGCATCCCGGGGTATACACGTTAATAGCCATGTCTGTCTTTCTACCACTCAGGGGACCACATCCAGTAATATGCGCGACATAGTCTCGGAATGCCTGAGAGTATACTGCGTCCCTAAGAGCAAGCAAAGAGGGAAGTCTAGCTAGAGCCTCGTCGTCTAAGCCGTCGAGGTTCGCAAGGTCGCCGGATTGGTGGATCTTATAGATATCAGTTTCTTTGGGGGTGAAGGAGACATTATCCTTGATCTCCTCGCGGACGGATCGTAGTAAGGTATCGTCGATCAGCTCGTGGATGACGCTGTGCTTGTAAGGTGTGGATTTGGCATATCCTTGGGTGTATTTATCTAGGACGTCTTTGTCAAAGAGACCTTTTCTGAATCTCTTCTTAGCTTCCTCGTCGCTTAGTGCTATGATAGTAGTTAGTTTTGTTTGTTGCGAATATTTTCAGAATTTCTAGCAAGATCGTACGATAGGTGACCTGCTAAGTTGGGCGACTTACATGTCTTCTTAGACTTCTTTTTAGCAGGCTTATGGCCTACAACTTGCGATTGGGCTTTGCGCTTCATTATGGATTGCTAATTGAATTTATACTAATTAAATATAATCAATTAGGAGTTTGGGGAATGTGTGAAGAAGCTCAGGGAAGCTTAGGGAAGCTTAGGGAAGCTATTTTGAACATGAACAAAATGAATAAAAACTCACGATTTCTTCCTAATCGACTGATTATCATTCTCTCACACTTTTCAATGGGGAAAAAGTAACGGCAGAAAAAAAGAAACTAGAGCAAACGATGACCCGCTCCATCTAAGTTTCATCTATCGAAGTTAGCGCGATCTTCACCGCCCGACCCACCATTGAAAGAGCTTAAGGTTGTTTAAGGTTTGCTTATCGACTGACAAGTTGATCTTGATCCACTCATGTCACTTATACTGGCTTACACTATCCAATGCCCCTCCATCTTCCCTCTTATTTCCTTCCCTCCCCTATTTTTTTTTTACCGCTATGGCTGCTGCACTACTTCAATATTTCTCTCCATTTTACTCCAATGGTTCAAATAAACCCAAGTAAAAATAACTGATCTGGCTGCATGATTGTAAACAGATGCAACCAAGTCATATATATATATATATAGATCATGCACCATGCGTACTCTACACCCTCCCTCCTCTCAAAGCCTCCATAGTAGGACCTTATTGGCAGTTAAGCTATCATGTCCGGCAATCCTTTAATCGGAGTTATAAGTTGGTGCTATATCAATACGGACTCCTGCGGAAATGCTTATTCGTGTGGGACGGGATCACGCCAGGAGGCGTCCGAGGGCGGCAGTTCTACTGCAACTCTTAGGGGTGTTCAGTCGTATCTAACCACCGTCTACGAAAATTCCACATATTATTGACCAATAAATTAGAATTGTAGTCTTAGGGTCGGTATTAGATGGTAGAGACGCTCTTTTATGAAGTATGGGTAACCCGTAGCCAGGTCTGGGGCTACGGGATCGATTACCATACTTCGGTTCGTTTACCGATATCGCTACCTCTCTATCATTAATTCAATACTTCTTTGATTATGTTCGTCTCTTTTTGTTTTCCTATGCTGATCGTTATACGTGGGTTCTCCTTATCTATCTATAAGCTTAATATTGAGCATGTCCGTTAGAACAGAGTTGAAGTGTTGGCGGCCATGATTTGTCACAGTTCTATTACTAACCAATATTTTTTAAAGAGCTTCGCTTGAGGAAACAGCCAGATTAAGGATTAACCCTATTGTATCAGTGGCGCGGTAATGTTAGGTTACTACCGGCGGCTCGTTCTAATATCCTGGGATTTCAACTGGACTCACCCATAGTAAAACTCCAAGATAGGGGTTCATATAAATATGTAGTTCGGAAAGGTCCTTGAACCCGAATGTTGCGTTACTATCACCTTGCCTATACTCCATAGGTAGCTATTGATCAACCGTCTTTAAGTGACAGTCTCCTAATACATATATGATCATTGCTCATATATCGTATCGAGAGACCCTCCTATAATGGTTGACTTCTGCTATCGTTAACACCCAATCGGGGGACCTGGTTATGATTAATACTGGTTTAAGGCTGCACCGATATCGACATATGGACCGTCCACTCAGAAGAAGGTTCGTCCTCTGCCCTAAGACATAAGTATCTTAAAATAGCAATTGGTCTTCCGATAAATGTCAAGTTGATCACCTATCATGATGACTACGATATATTTACCCCTATAACCTCAAATGTCATTTTATCACATATCAGAAATGTCTAAGGATTGCTCAGCCAGCCAGGTAACTACTAAGTCGACAGACATAATATTTCACTCCCAAATAGCGATAGAATTAAGTAACACCCTCCGAGCGAATGGTAGAATTGAACCGTTGGGGGACTCGAGTCCGCGTTAGGTTACTATTAACAACGAGATTTTAACGTGCTAGAAATATTTGACCCCTTATAGCCTAGCTGGAAATATCAAGGAGAAAGATATTAATAAGAAAAGTAGTCCTATTCTAATATTGTTACATTCTTAAAATCTTTCGTTTACAATACTCCTTTTATAACTACCATCTAAAAACAAGTTGGGATTATGGAAATAGAATACCCGAGTCAGTTCATCGCTTTCTCTTATATGGCTTGCATAACTGTGCCACTATTTTTACCGCCAGTAGGCGCCTATGTTGTATCTATAGCATCCACTCACAGCTCGAGATATAGTATACACGGTATTGGTGTAAGCCCACGAAGCGCCGGCAGGAAACATAGGATTAACATACACCACATATCGTGTCAACTCATTATACCGTCTGATGATATTAATAACAGGCAGAGGGTAACATATTGGGGTATACGAGGTAGCCGAATCCACACAAGTAATTTAGTTAACTGTCAAGAAGCGTTTAAGGTAAGGTTCATGGATCGATTAGTCGTTCTACTCCAATGTGCGGAGAATATCCCACTAGCTTGCGTGGGGGGAATATAGGAGCTATAGACTCGAGAGCTATAAGAAAGCTTAGAGGGAGCCAGTTTCGAGGATATAGCTTTTGGAAATGATATAACTATGGGCTGTACAAATAGGTAGATTTATAACCAGGTAAGATATTTTCAGTTCATCAAGTATTAATGCTAGATATATATGTAGTATAGAAATGAGTATCTATACTACACCCCGCATTCAACGTCATTAGTCGGGCTAAACTTTATAGCGCTTAAGTTCCAGATCATCGGGTTTAGGCACAAGGGGAACTTACAAGTTCACATCCGTCGAAGTAACTACAAGCAGCTACCTCTTTTCATATAGCTATCTTAAGCAACACTTTTTATATCATCTTCATAATATATATATACATAGGCCGGATTTCGGAATAGGAGAGCACCTGGATTCAAGTTATCTTAAAATTAAAAACCAGTAAACCACCAAATTTCCAAGACGAATTTTAATAAAGGAAAACTCCATAAGATGGCCACCTTCGACGTCGAAGCCGATAGAGCCAAATTCCCAGCTCTAAAGGAGGACCAGGTCTTCCTCGACAACGCGGGCGGAAGCCAGATACTAGGTACCGTCATCGAAGCGTAAGTAATATCCCAAATTCTATAAACGGGAAGTTAACTCTGCCTCTAACAACACCACTAGTATAAGCGACTACCTCATCAAGAGCAACGTCCAATTTGGAGGCGGTTATAAAACCAGCAAGGCATCGAGCTCTCGCTACGACGACGGCGTAACCGCCGGGGCTAAGTTCCTCAATGCGGAGAAGGACGAGATTGGTAGGTTTGCTTTACTAACTCACCACTTATACCTCATCTTTCATCCCTCATACTTCATACAACATAACAGCACAAGAGTACACTCACTCACTCCCTCACCTACTAACACCCCCCAGCCTTCGGCCCCTCAGCCACGCAGCTCCTGCGCAACCTATCATTCACGCTCCCCTTCCAGCCCGGCGACGAAATCATCGTGTCATCAATCGACCACGAGGCCAACATCGCGCCGTGGAAAGACCTCGCCAGCCGGTTAAACATCGAGCTCAAGTGGTGGACACCCCAAGCCACCACCAGCACCAGCACCAGCACCAGCACCAACCCGCGGCTCCTTCCCGCAGACCTAAAACCCCTATTATCCCCCAAGACGCGACTAGTAACATGCACGCACGCGAGCAACGTGCTAGGCTCGATCCACGACATCAAAGCCATAGCAGACGCGGTGCACTCGGCCGTGCCAACGGCGCTCCTGTGCGTCGACGGCGTGGCGTATGCGCCGCACCGCCCCGTCGACGTCAAGGCCCTCGGCGTCGATTTCTACGTCCTGTCGTGGTACAAGGTGTACGGGCCGCACGTCGCGATGCTGTACGGGAGTCGCCGCGCGCAGGAGCAGATGCGTACGCTGGGGCACTTTTTCAACCCGGATGCTACGCTTGAGAATAAGATTAGTCTTGGTACGTATACATACATACCTAAGAGTACTAAGGTGTTGTCTTGCTGCTGAGAGCCCCTTTTTTTTCTTTTCTCTCTTTACGCCCCCCTTTTTTGGCCGAAGCAGTAGTCGTCATCGTATAAGAGCCAAGCTTCGAATATAACAATACAGCACTGATATCTACGTAATCCAGGAAGCGGGCACTACGAACTAGTACAATCCATCCCCCCCATCGTCGACTACATCGCCCCCTCCTCCCCCTCCTCCCCCAGCAGCCTATGGCCCAGCATCGCACACCACGAATCGCAGCTTCAATCAACACTCCTAGCCTACCTGACCTCCCAGCCCGAAAAATTCACCATATACGGCGAGCCCAGCGCGGACGGAGCCGTACGCCTGCCGACGGTGAGTTTCGTCGTCGCGGGCTGGGACTCGCGGGTCCTGGTCGAGACGCTGGAGCGCAGCACCAACTACGGCTTCCGCTGGGGCGCCTTCTACTCCCACGCGCTGGTGCGCGATTTCTTGGGCCTGGGGCCCGCCGGCGTGGTTAGGGTTAGCATGGCGCATTATAATACGCGTAAGTGAGGATAGATGGATGAATCTCTGTTTTATCTACCCGTCATCTATTATTATCTAAAGAAGAGTATGGATCTGGAGGCTAATGCATGACATTGTGTGTGCAGTGGAGGAGATAAAGGGGTTTATTGAGGCGCTGGATGGGGTTATATCGAAAACGGCTTAATTTGGGGGGGGGGGGTTGTATGAGGGTACCTAAGATTAGGTAGTTAGATAGATAGGTCCTCTTTGTGGTAGATGTGTTGGTTATCTCGGGTTTGGAATATAGGTCGCCTTTGACTATATACATACATATACACATACCATACATGTTATAAGTAACGTCCGGCTCATTCTGGTAGCCATATCCTAGCCTCTTGTTAAGAAGAATATTTTATGGCAGATTAATACTTTAATTTTAAACGGGTGGATGCGTAATACTTAATGTAGACTTGGAGTAATTGGGTAGGTACTTATATTCATATCTAGGAGTTATATACCTGCTACTCCCTATCTAACATCCTACACTCAACCATCAAACCGCTAAGTAGACGCATACGCTATGTCCATCCATCCATCCATCTCTCCACCACATCCCCCCCATCTCACAACTTCCCAGACCTCGAATCAACAGTCGTCCTCAACAACGAGATAACCTCCGCCGGGTCCCGAGCCCCAAACACAGCGCTCCCCGCAACGATGACATTGGCGCCCGCGTCCGCCGCCTGGTCGATGGTACCGGGGCCCAGGCCGCCGTCGACCTCGATGTTCAGGTCCGGGTACTTCTCGCGCAGCGCCTGCACCTTGGGCAGCTCCGACGCCATGAACTTCTGGCCGCCGAAGCCGGGCTCGACCGTCATGATGAGGACCATCTGTACGTATCGCATGTGGTTAGTTCCAGTTGCACGAATTCAATAAGTCCCATCCCGCAAAAAAGAAAAGAAAGTAAAACAAGGACATATGTTTGTTAGGGGGGAAGGATAAAGGCGAATGAATGAATAAATATATGAATGAATGAATGAATAAACAGCACAAGGACAACGCAACGCACATCAGGCCGCTCCTTCGGATCCGGGCTCTCGAGCAGCTCAGTCAAAACCTCGACGCCCGTAGCCGGCTTCAACGCAATACCAGCCAGCAAGCCGCAGTCGTGTATATACCGCAGCAGGTCCTTCGGATTCGTCTTCTCGTCCGTCTTAGCCTCGGGGCTCTCGGCCGCGCTCGAGAACGCGGCTTCGTAGTGGAAGCAGTATAGATCGCAACCTGCCTTTTGGAACTCCTTGACCCATTTCTTAGGCTATTTAAAAAAAAAAAAAACAAAAATCGATGGTTAGCCCCTATATTCCATTGCTCTGGTATTGATGGGAATAGCTAGGTATTTATTACGGAAGTTAGAGAGGAGGGGGGGAGGGGAAGAAGAAGGGGGTAAGTAAGTAAGTAAGTAAGTAAGTAAGTAAGGGGTAGTTTAACGGTGGCGTCGTGGGATAATACCTTACCTCGGCAATCATCATATGGCAGTCGAACGTCCCGCGCCCGTGGTTCTCGACAGGCTTATCGACGTGTTTCCGGATCTTAGCCACGACCGGGGCGCCGAACGTGATATTCGGTACGAAGTGGCCGTCCCTACGTACGCGAGCAAAAAACACCTCACGGTCAGCCTATCCTATCCCAAAAATCTATTTTTTACAATATTTACAAGACGCAGACCATCACCGCCGTTCGACTTGATTCTATATATATATATAAATAGACACTAGTACGAACGACGCCGCATACCCCCCAGGATAACGTACATACATGATATCGATATGAAGCCAGTCGGCGCCCTGGTCCATAGTCCTCGCGCAGTCGGCACCTAGCTGGGCGAAGTCGGCCGACAGGATCGAGGGCGCTATTATCGCCTTGGGCGCCATGATCGTATACCTAGGTAGGTGAAGGACGGGTTGGACGGACGTATATGTGTAGGTATCTTTATGCGCGAATCAGGGGTAAGTTTGTTTGCAAGCTCGAAAGGACCCGGATGTCTCGTGGTAAGTTTTGCGTGAAAGTGAAACAAGGGTACGGAATAGCGGAATAGACGTCACAGGTTCACAGGAAGAAAAGATGGCGGGGCAGTTCGAGTGGTGGGGGGTAGAGGGAGGGTGGGGTAGACCCCTCAGCTTAATTCCTGTTCCCCTAATTTTATACTTATGTCAAGGTGGAATACTCACCTTCGAGAGAAACTTATAGAGTCATATATATCACATATAGTTAGATTGTCACAATAAATAATGGTATAATATACCAACAGATGTAGAGATAATGTAGTTTCTTAATAACAACGTTTTCCTCGAAGCTGATTAACTTTTGAATTAACCCGAGTGACTACTTAGCTGACTAGGTAAGTCATATACTACTCGACCAGACACGCAGGTATATCCCGCGTATAACCCGTTACAACCCCTACTCTTCCTCAGGGACAGCCTCCGGAACCGTCTCCTCTTCTCCGTCCTCGTCGAAGCTGCCAGCTGGAACCTCGTATAGTCGAAGGATTGACTTATTAGGGTCCTTGACAAGTACAAACTTGCCATCCTCACGCTTAAGACACATGTCAGCGATGGTGCGGACGATACCCCAACCGTTGGAGAGCGACAAGTTCATCTGGTTAGCGAAGTCCTTGGGCTTCCAGCCAATAACTCCCAAAATTACGTGTTTATCGTTCGACTTCGGGTTGGCACGAGAAACGAAACTAGATTAAGATGTTAGCAAGGCATACCCTATAATAGTTAAATATAGTAAAACTAACCCAAGCTTCATGACGTCCGCCTTGGACAATATACTTTGGACCGTCCATCGTGCGAGCTTGACGCTGTTGTTCTTCATCTCCGTTGCGACAACGGCACCACGTTGGCTAACTAGCTTGGTTCTCCAGTCTAGAGCACCACCGCTGCCTTGGGCCTTGCTGTCAAACTCGTTGAGGGCCTTGACAGTCAAGAACTGATCCTCGCCGCTGATGGCATTCTTTTGAACGGCATCTAGCTCGGCCCGAACGATCAGATACATCGGATCTTCCTCGCTAGTCGAGAGATCGAATCTGCGGTACTTGTAAGCCTTGCTCGCCGGAGGCTCAGTCTCCTCGGAAGCATTGTAGAAGGGGTTTTCGTGGGCCATCTCGACCTTCGAGGACTCGTTCTCCTGGACGACCTGATTCGCGAAATTGTGGTTGATATAGGTAGCCTCCTCTGCCAGGGCAGCAGGCAGGTTGATTCCATCCTTGTTACCATCGGAAGCTTCCATGGGAGCATCGGCAGCGTTCTCGTTTACCGTCACCATGTCCAGTGCGGCATTATCGCGCTTGTCGAGGAAGATCTTGTTTCCTTGTCTTACAATTACAATATCCCATGGGTAGACCGAGCGGGTAGAGCACATAAGCATAGATAAGATGCTATCAGTGGCAAAGATAGTGGCTTCGTCCTTGTCGGCCAGCTCCTGAATAACGGGATCCGAGGAGGTAGTGACATTGTAGGCAGCACGATCCAAAGGCACCAGCCTCTTCTCGGCAGCCTTGACGGGCTGCTTGTCGTAGGATCGGTCATAGTAATAAACGAAACCGTAGCTATCCATGTCCTCTCCTTCATCAGCGTCTAAGTTTAGCTTAGCAAGTCTGTTGAAGTCGATCTCTTCTAGTAGCTGCCAGTCTGCTTTGATATTGATAGAGGCGTCGCGGTTACGAGTCGGCTTGTCGTAATCTTTCCATCCGAAGCGGCGGCCACGAGGCGCATTAGACCTACCACCGCGACTGTCGTATCCTCCGTAGCCTTGCTGACCCCCACGTCCAGGGCGCTGAAGCTGTACGCGACCACCCCTAGTATCTTGTCGGGCACCTCGTTGTCCGCGACCGCGTGTAAAGACTGCTCCCCGACCATATCTAGTCTTCGTGGGTTCTCTACTAACGACGGAGAATGTGTTTTCATCCTCGGCGACGGGGGCGGTGAATAGCGCAGCGCTACCGGCACCGTATATCTGCTGGTCTGTATTTTATTAAATATTAGCACTGGAAAACTAATGACCGTCAATATCAAGACAATCTGGCTTTACATACCTCTAAAGTTTCTGTTATATTGCTGTCGACCACCGCGTCCATCTCTTCCATCCTTGCTATCCGCTGTCCAGTCTGCCATACGACCTAGCTTGTCACCTTTCGAGAAAGGAGCATACGGGACACCATTGAGAGTGGTCTCGGTTACCGGAGGAGGACCCCATCCGTCACCGTCAGGCAAGGCCGCAATGAGGTCGGCTAAAGAGTTTTCAGATGCCATATTGAATAATCTCAGCAATATTTTATTTATGATTTATCTTCACCTAAAAGTAATATTGCTGCTTTATTGAAGGCGACCTCGATGTTGTTGGTCTTTTTTTTTTTGCCTAGGGCGTGGCTCTTCTAAATTTTGGCTGTAGTCGAATATTTTAGTAGTGAATCAAAGAGTTTTTGGTGGGGTGTGGGGCAATTACACAGCGTCGGATCTTGGTTAGTGTAGTACGTACCTTAACCTATACCTTCCAGGATACGAAGTAGAAGGACAGTTAAAAGAGATATCGCGACTCTATTATTAGCACTGTACCCTGAAGTCTTAACGGAAGTTCCTAGGGGGTTTAATAATTATAATATGCAATTGCCTTGTAAGTCTAAGTGGCATATTAATAGTATTAACTAAGAGTTTAAGCTAGAAAGAAGTACACAGGCAAGATAATTAAACAATTCAAACATTATAACCTTTCTTCATATAGGTACTAAACATATAGCCTCGTGAGATGAGACTGTCAAGTGCATCTTGAGAAACATGAAAGATGCAAACATTCTCTTTACATATAAACAACATATCGAATTATCAATTCTTTCAACTATTGATTGAATAGAATAATCTTTTAACCTTGTTATACCTCTAGTATATAAGTATCCAAGTACACGAATGCGTTCTGCCCGTCATCTCTCATCGCTTTACTCGTCATACCTACTCGTAATAACAGCCACCATCGTCATTATCATCCCTTTATATACCTATGCATAAAACAGACCAAAATGTTGTTTAAAAAAAAGAAACAGAAAACTCAAAACTTAAACGGCCCGTCCCCTAAATTCTAATAAGCCATGCCTACCTCCGACTTTGCGGAGAAAACGGCATTGAGCGCATCCCGCACCTCGAACTCCTCCATCACAGCTCCGAACCTATGGGGGCAAATTAGTTAGCATCATATCGGATATAGTAAGCGGAACGCATAGGTTAGGTAGGTAGGTAAGATAGGCAACACATACCCATAGCAGCGGACCTTGCCCTTGAGATCATCAACCAACCTCACCAAGTCCTCGCTCTTCAGCTCCCTCAGCTTCGGATGGGACAGAACCATGCCCCAAGCCATGACGGGCGTGATCTCGCCGTCCAGGTTCAACTTGGTGCTGAGGTCGAGAAGAGTCGACAGATCGCCCTTGGACAGCTCCCACGTGCGCTGGCGAGATGGCGCCTCGCCCCGGTCGCCGTGCGTGTGCGAGTACCCGAACGGGATCTCCTCGCTGAGCTCCGGGAACGGCTCCGGCGGACACGATGCCATGAGCGCGTGCCCCGCCGCGTCCCCGCTCGTGTCTTGCGCTCGCTCGATCAGCCACGGCATGTGGTCCATACACGGTCGCTCGAGCCTGCGCACCCAATCAGCACGGATTTGATTAGCTTCGCTGTACCCCACGGAACCGAAAACATTTACATTTTTCTTCAATTTTTTCTCTCTCTCTTGTGTGTGAAATAGGTAGATGTATGTATGTATGTATGCATGCATGTATGTGTGTATGTGTGTGTATGTGTGCGGTGACGACCCGTTATTACTACCACTACTACTACTACTGCGGGGGAGGTGACATGTACGCCTTCGAGGGGTCATCGGGGTTATCGTACGTTAAGACGAAATCTATCCCAGCCTGTTCGTAATCTACGTGGTGGCCCTGCTTCTGCTGCCCGCCTAGCCCCTGCGACGACGACGCCGTCATGGAATTCGGACTCGATATCGACGTCATGCCCGGCGTGTACGCGGTGTTAGAGCTTCCCGCCCCGTAGCCGCCCGAGATACTACCATTGGACGTGTACCCGGGGCTCAGACTGCTGCCGATATCGTCTACACCGCCGCCCGGGCTGTGCGAGATGCCGTTCTGCTGCAGCAGGATTTTGAGCTGCCGGTTTTCCTCGGCGAGCTTGTCTTTGTCTTGCGAGACGTTGGTGTAGATCTCTTTAAGTCGCAGTACCTCGTCTTCGAGCGCCTTTATGTATAGCTCTTTGCGCTCCCGATGCGTCCTACCGACGGATGATTAGCAGGGCATCTTACCCGCCGGACTTACAGGTACGAGTCTGTGATATACCTCTGTGCTTGGCGATTCAATTCTTGCCGGCGTGTTAACGCCGGCTTGCTATCGGGTTTAGGTCCTCGCCGCTTAGGAGGATTGCCATCGCGGGTGGTCTTCTTGTCGTTCAACGACTTTAGAAAGTTGAGGTTTAGCGAGCCAAGAGGACCCTTGTCAGGCTGGGAAGAGTCGTTGGGGGGCGACGCAGAAGACGACATCGAAACGTGTTCGTAAAGCGAGCCCAAGGAGGGTTTATGATCGGATGGGGAATAATGCGTTGGAGGAGACGGATAGCCAACTACGGGTTGCGGGTTAGTGATTTTGGCCATAGCTCATCAGAACGACTTGAGCGACAGAATGCGCGATCCAAGATTGGGACATGATGGGGGGGTATCGAATAAGGCAATAGTGTCCGAATTGATGGGAGAGATGCTTCGTTTATGTGCTTCGTAGAGCGGGGTGAGAATGCTACATAGTATATGAATGACCTACCACACCTTCCGATTCAGCCTTGAATCGTCGTGAGAACGGATCTTATTAGTATAAGGTTAAAGATGGGCTTTCACTACTATTATAATAGTAAACGGCTCCGCCAGTCCGGTACTATGCAGAGGCGCTGTGGGATTCTAATTTGCGCCGCGTGGTAGGACTATTTGGTCTTACAATTGGTACGAAACTAATAAATAAATAGAATACTAAATAGAATAATCTGAGATGATACGTTGAAAAAGTGTTGGTTAATTATTCTAGAGGGGTGGAACCCCACGGTAAGATAGTTGACCGTTTCTAGAGGCTGATGTCTCTCCTTAACAATCTTATAGACGTAAGAGATAGGTTATGCGATGAATAATAAGAAGATGTTGCAGTAGAAAAGATTCTAATAGCGGATTCCTTCCCTGGAAAATCGAAATACCCCCTCACTATTATGTCCTCTGCAGGACTGCTCATATCCATGTAGTAACTAATATCGTCGTAATCTGATATGATGATACATACATACTGACATAATCCACGATGATGCACAGCCTACCTCGCTAGTGTTAGTCAAGTGCCGTGCAAGTTGTGGGTTTCTAAAGCCTTATTAAGAAGCTTGATTCTTTTAGCCTTGGGTTTATTATTCCCCCCTTTGATACCTCGTACATATATACATATTGCATGTAGCCTGGCCTATGTAATATGGTAGATTACGTATCCCTTCTCCAAGTACGTAGTATGTTCACTACCTACATGTATGTATCGTGAGATTGAATATGGGATTTAATTATTCCGTATCCTTCGTGGCCGTTGTGTCCGTGCCTTTTCTGGGGTTCGCTAACGAGGTGGTCAGCGTTGCCAAATTAATCATGATTCGAGATGGTTCGTCGTTCTTACCTGTTAAGCTAAGTTGCATAGTGGCTGAGGGCAGATATTATCCACTCATTCGGTTTGGCGTAATCGTGTGCATACAATATGGTGGCTTAAAATATAGAATTATATTCGCTCTCATCGGAATATTTATTAGTAAGGGTCTTCCCCAACGAAAGATCTTAGTGCCGCCCAGCAAAGTGTTTTCTCGATATGGATTCGTACGGGTATGTATATATGTCCGTATCGTGAGAAACTTAGGAGATATCTATATGTACATCTAGGTGTAAAGACATCTCTATTAGCTATTCATATAGAATCCCAGATACTGTATGTATAGAGGTAGTCAAGAATAAATAATCCTTACTTCTACTGTCTACATATCTTGACCGCCAATCTGAGGTAAAAAGTGAAGATCTAGTGAAGCGCAAGCTTACATACATGCTGGATAGCAATCTTGTCGACTACCTATCCAAGGCAGTAATCCTATTGGTGGTTAAGTGCTTCTCTGCGGATTTACACCTTGGCCTTCCCCAAATATAGCGTTTCCCATAAAGTGGGAGCAGATCAGCCAATCCTAGTCCAACCCTTTAGAACGGAATGTCTCAAGTTCCAGGTTGTGCCTCTAACTGTGCGACCGCTGACGTAACTTGATCGACACCATCTGCTGTAGGCTGCTTAACGTATAGGTATGTTATTCATTGATCTGTGATATCCTCATTGTAAGCTCTTTATGGAAATGTTCTATCTGTTCCTCTGATCCGAGTGTAGCATCGCTTTAAAAGATCGCCGGTTCGAAATCTGGCGCCTAGCGGGTCCTAATCCTTGAAACAACGTGTAAAGAAAGCGGCCGAGATCATCGTTTAAAACTCGGGGTTGGTAACCTACATACTGAAATTCGATAGAAGATTGACTATTGCTTCCATTTCCATTCTATCACTTTGGATTTAATATCCAAGCTTAGATCAACTACCGCACCGCTCTCCCTCTATATAGTAACCCCCCATGCAGGTCCCACGACCATGTTAGAAGGACTTCCCGCTAACCTGAGGGGCGTCGTGCTAGTGGCTCCCTGGGTCCTTTACCTTGCGGTGTGCGATGCGGTACTATCTCTACTCCTAGTAGTGAAGGTATTCGCACCGGATTTTGTCTATAGCACGTCCTGCCGCATTGCATACTCCGTATGGAAATGGATCCAATTTATCTTTGAGAGTTGCAACGGTGCTCGGATCACTATCTCAGGAGACCGATTGCCCACGAAGGAGTCGGCTGTTGTCGTCTCGAATCATGTTACGTGGGCCGACTTTTACCTGATCCAAAGCTTGGCCCTGCGATCGGGAATGCTGGGGCAATGCCGATGGTTTGCGAAGATCCAGCTGCGCTGGGTCCCCTTTCTAGGATGGGGCCTTTGGGCCATGGGCATGCCGATGGTGACCCGGAATTGGATGCGAGACCAGTGTGAGCTACAGCGAGTCTTCGGCGATATCGTACGTAGGAGATGGCCGATGTGTAAGTGCTTGCTTGACCTATACCCACCCGTCTTGACGTATTCGCGTTCCAAACTACATCAACTGTGTAACTGACATGTCTACCCTGCAGGGCTGATAAGTTTCAGCGAGGCAACACGATTTACACCCAAGAAGTATAATGAATCTATTGTTTGGTGCAAACAGAACGGTCGCCCCCAGCCCTTGCATTTACTATATCCCCGTACTAAGGGGTTTGTCACCACTGTGCAGCAGTTGAGAGCAGCACCTCATGTCAAGGCAGTGTATGATTTCACTATTGCGTATCAGCACAATGATAAGTTTCATGTGACCCCGAATATGTGGGAAACTCTTAAGCTCTCAGACCTTAGTGGTTCTCGAGGATATAAATTCCACATTCATGTTCGGCGATTCCCTCTTGAAGACCTCCCCTATACGGACGAAGAACTGGCAAAGTGGTTGGAACAGAGATGGGTTGAGAAAGGGGAATGGCTAGATGCCTTGAAGACTGAATGGGCCTTTCAATAGAGAGAAGCATGTGAATTTTGTAGCTCCTGCTAGGCTCAAGTAGTAGTTTAAGGTCACGTTTATAATATTAGAATATTCGAGCCGCGTTGGAGAAGACAAAGACTTTAGCAACGAGTCTTGGCACTGTTCACCGATTACCCTTTGCGTATGACTATGTGATAGTTTGGAGGACGGTCTGTGTAATTACTTGCGTCACGAGTGTGCTGGACGCCATTGCGTGCCATCTTGCTGTAAGGAGTTATCGTATGTATATACATCTCAAGGGTGTGTTCGGTTCATGTAAGACATAAGTAGCTGTCCTTATAGCCATGGGAGATGTGGTCAGTGAGCCTATGTAGAGCCTAGACCATTGCCTCTATCCTGTGTCATGGGTTACACTAGTATATATACTACCCTATCCCGTGTCGAACTACTTAGGTATATATTATTAGAGGTTAAAATTACGAGAACTAAAGGATACTCATCCTTTAACTAAGAACACATGGAGAAGTGATATGCCCTCTCTACGAAAACATGACACTACGAATACGTACATCGATGTGGTTCATCGAGAGATCTTGGGGTGACTTCATATACGGCAATCTAAGATGATACAGAAACAATTGGTGAGTCGGTAACGGTGATAGGTTTGACATCATTCGCCTAAAGCGAGTTTGCGTAGCATTATATGTATAGGATGCCATACCCGTAGACGTGCACGCATAAATTACCGGCTTGGAAGATACTACCAATCGAACTAAATCTAGCTCGAGACGAAAAGTGCTTTTATGATCGGGTAGTGCAAAGCTTGCAATATACATACCTATACATATGAATTGCTTTCGTTGATCGGGGGACGAAGCAGCTAATTATCGTGACTGATTAGTAGAGCTGTGCGAGGCGAGCGGGAAACCCATTGTTGATCAGGATTGGCTACCTGGATATCCCCTGGTATGTAAGCGTATGTATGTACTTCCTGCAGTCTGGCTTCGGCCGTTGCATTGGGGAGGAGAATTGGAGAACTTTGAACCTACCTATATTAGGTACATGAGACTACACACGTATGTGACGATGAGTAGTGGGGTGAGGTTGTTACGATGTTGTGAAAATTTGAGAGCGGGTCATAGTATCACTCGAGATCTCTTGATACTAGGAAAATAGATGTTTGTCATCCCATCCCCCCTTTTATGGTTTCGAGGTCGAGATTAGGGACAATATGTGTTTGGACTTTACATAACTAGGTAAACCCTTTCTCTTTCTTTCTGTGAGTACCTAGGTCGGGGTTATGAAGTGGCTCATGTAGCTCATAGTTCTCTGACGGTATTGGTTATTGCTACATGCAGGTTTGTCTTAGGAAAGTAATGCTTATTGCTACATGCAGGTTTGTCTTAGGAAAGTAATGCTTATTGGATAGATAGGATACGGGAGGGGTAAGAGACAGAATTGAAAATATGTTTTTTTTCTTCTTTTGTATAAACTCGATGATAAAGGAGTGGTTCGCCCCTCAACCTGGAGGGTAAGCTGTGATAGTAGTGGGCTTTGGAATGCCCATCGACCGATGTCTCGTTGTTACTATTTAGTCACGTACACAAATGTGTAGACACGTATAATACCAGTAGGAGTTATATCGAGAGGGTGTGTTCGGTTCTATATCCCAGGATAAGATGACTGCATAAACAACGGTAATAAAGGCGAACCATCGTTGTCTGGTTGTCTGGTTGTCTGGGGACGCAGCATTGACGTAGGAATATCCCTTGGTACTAGGTAAACTAGTGTAGGTAGGTAGGAATTCGGAATTCGTCTTTGGCTTACATAGAAGTAAACATTGCTCCAAGACTTGTGGATTTGGGTTAGCTATATGCAAGAGGATCACTGGACCCATGTCTGTCGCCATTCATTTGTTAGTGGCGCTAAGTGACAACCAGCTAGATATGCCGTCGGAGTGGACTATCTGCTCCGCGACAGGGAATATCGAAGATCTGTTTGGCTATATCGTTCGTTGGTGAGACTTCTCCTGTAGGTAGGGTAGGTCAGATTTGGCTATGGTGGCTACGATGGTTTGTGAGAGGTACTCTATCCGCTGTTATGAATTAAGAAGAAACGGATGTATCATCTCTCGTTTTGGTGTGGCTTGTTATAATACAAATATAATAATAGAATAATACATGGAAGCGATAAAGAAAAGGGTTAGAAAATTCCATAGAATGTTTGTAAAACACTAGGGTTCGAAAAATGTCCTAATAATTGGTAATTGCCAGCAGGGAGGAAATTCCGCACAACAAGCGCTCAGAGCGCTAAGCCTTAGCTGTATTAGGCGTTAGGTACGTTATGTACCGTACCTAACCTAAGGTATGCGGTATGTTAGGTATGCTGGTATGTCTGCCACTTCCTAACTTTTTTTTTTTTTTTCAATTAAGTCATAACATAAAAATATATCTCAATAGGGGAAGGAAAGATATACCGCGCGGACTAAACAAGGTACCTACCCCCCCGGTTAGTTCCCCCGCTCTGGGTTCTCTGGGTCTTTGGGTCGCTACAGTATTAATTCAGCTCCGTAAACAGTATTCACACGGGGTATATTATAGCAATAAACTTTCTTTGCTGACTGACTCTTGCTTTACGCGCCCCGAAAAGGGAAGAAAGGCTAATCGGTAAACGACCCGCGCTGTAAATCCGTATATCCACTCCAACTCAAAATCAAGTGTATGTTTCTTCAAGAAACTTTAGAAACCTTACTTACCTGGCTTACCTTAAGGTACATCCATTTCCTTCTTTTAAATCGAGACTTTTTTTGTACGTCGTAGTCCTCGAAACTAAACATTAAATTGGCCCTTGCATTAATAATTTTTTTTTATAGATAACGTCCCTGTACTCTTTTATCCTCGTCACTTGTGGCCCCTCCATTAGGCCCCCCCGTCGCTACCGCCCCTTTGTCAACAATACGATCGGATCGCGATAATACTCGAGCGTGCTGGCAGTCCCAGTCCGAGCTGAGAGGCTTGTCCTCAACCCTCAAACAGATCAATCTCTGCCAGAATCGAGTGACCTGACCAACTACGCACGTCACTCACCGTCATGTCTCGGGTTCTCGCAAGCTTCTGACTCTGGCTTTCTGCCAGATATCTTGGCTTTGCATGAGGTCAATCTTGACCAAGAACCGAACTTTACGATACGCCTACCTTCCGCCCGGACGCGTTTGCGTCTCTGCTAAACCGTCGAGGGCTTCTTCTCGATTTCAAGAGGCTTACTGCCCGATGCCATCATTGCAATTGAGCAACGAACCGGTCGTTTTTCAACAATGGACGAGGATACCAGTAGGCTGGCCCCCCCGGCTGTCACCTCGCTCCGTGCTCAAGCCATCGGCCGTTCAATGGAAAGATCTTTAAGCGCAAACATTAGGGAAGAGCGTGAAGAACTTCGCGAGGCCGCAGAACAGACTTTAAATGTCATTATGGACCTTAATCTCGATGGCTCTATTCGGTGGGTTAGCCCGTCATGGGCCGATGTTATTGGGACAGATCCAGATGCCGTCGAAGGCACCCCGATCGCCGATTTGATTATTAGCGAGGACAAGTCTGCATTTGCCGGAGCTATTGATTCAATGAAGAATGATGATTCACGTAGCCATTATGTCCGATTTACCGTTTACCTAGGTCTCCTGTCTAAGTTATACCCTACCGATACTCGCGAGGAGTCCGAAGCAGACCAAAGCAACCCTGCCACGATCGATTTAGAGGCTCAAGGGATTATGGTCTACGATCGCACTACTGGAGACGAAAGTCATGTAGGAAACCGAACTCATATTTGTTAACTCGAAGCTGACACCTCCTAGACTATGTGGATGATACGGCCATGGGTTCCGCCGCGAGAGATAAAAATTGACCTTGCACCGTTACTTGTAGATTCTCTTGGGTCGGGTGCTGAGGTTCTAGCTAGCTATTTAACCCAACTAGCAGAGTCTGGAAACGATGATCCCGCAAAAAACCCACCGCCGTTACCAGTTTTGTGCCGCATTTGCGAACGCCAAATCCCGCCTTGGTGGTTTGAGAAACACACGGATCTATGCCTCCAAGAGCATCGAGCTGAAATGGATGTCCAAATAGCCCAAGAGAATTTAACCGAGCACCGACACGCTATCGTTAAAGTGCTAGATGCGTTAGAGGCCCGCAAAAGCCGTGCTCTTTCAGGAGAGCCAGGATCGTTACCTATTGCCGAGTACAAGGGCTTACCTATAGGGCCTTCCTCCACTACGTCCTCCCCCGGGGCGGCCTCTCCAACTCCGTCGTCAAGGGATCGATCGATTGGATTCGGCCATGGTCGATCTCGATCGTTTGCGGTGCGGCGTCCTCAAGCCCGTATTGTGGAGTTGCTCTTGGACCTGTGTGATACCGCTATCGAAATTAGCACACCTGCAATCAAAGAATCCTCGTCGCAAGAATTTCGAACCCAGTCACCGCAATCCGAGTCTCGAATATCTCAAGTGCTCCAATGGCAATCTCCTGGCTCGAACACCCTTGAACAGGAGCAGGGGTTGGCTTTGCTATGCGCAGAAACCGAACGGGCTGCTAAAGAGAAGGTCGAAGCCGTATTTCGCCATAGGAGGATAATCGAGTACGCGGAACGGATCCGGGTTGAACTTACCGTCATAGTGGAGAATTGTGTCGAGGATGCCATGCGCAAGGCAGCTCGTATCGCGGAAGGTCGGCTGAGCGACTCGACTGAGGATGAAGAAGGCGAAGAGGAGGAGGAAGAGGACGACGACGACAACGGCGATGAGGAAGAAGAGGAAGAGGAGGAAGAGATCGAAGAGACCCCGGTGGCACAAGAAGAGCCTATTTTTGCTGGGTCATTTGATACGCCCTCTTCACTAGCACTTGCTCTCAAGAACGTAGACTTGGGAGATGCAAACGACAAAAGGCGCCCTTCTTCTATTATTGAGTCTACAAGGTCAAGTAGCCCTAGGGAATGTCCAACGCCAAAATCCCACCGGGAAGTGTTAGGCACCTCTAATACATCCCGAG